GTGAACCCGGTCGGGATGTAGAAGGGGGTGCGTGGCCTAAAAAGTTTGGGAACCGCTGCTTTACAGGTACAGTGAGTAGGGAGGCCGTGCCACTGCCATTTATAAACATACCTTGTCAGCTGATACCAATGCCAATATCAACATTGTCTGTCAATTGCATGATAATCATGCACACAAGCTGTTCAAATTGATGTTTTCATTTTAAACATAAATGTGGAAACGAAAAATTAGTGATGGCCTATTAGTGGCACTGCCATACATAAAGACACCTGTTATCTTTCATACAATACTGAACTATTAAAATAATGGACAGATTCATGTTTAGAGATTTTTTTTTTTTAATTGTCTAATCCAGCGGATGTTCTCCCTGATTACGTTTGTGTTTGACTTATTACAAATACGTTTCTAATCAACATTTTAACACTTTAATATTTTTTTCCCTCTCCACCACCGCCTCTTCTCCCTATTACGCGGTCAGAATACTACCACAACACGCCGCCTGTCTCCGGCAGAAACGCGCTCATCCAGGCCGAGCAACGAGGAACATTATGCGGCTACAATACCTCCACAAAGGCCCACGTGTAAAATCCGGGATTAACCGTGACTCTCTTAAGGGTTAGGTTTGGGTGGGGACGTGGCTTCCTAGTGGAAGTTATGGTTAGGGTTAGATGGATACATATAAATAAAATATACCTCCATAACACCCCGCCACTCTCGGCTCATACTTCCCCAGCAACGAGGCACATCACCCGGCCACAATACCTCCAGAATGTCCCCCGGGTGAAATCCGGGACTTGGTTTTATGGTTCCGAGTGGCGGGCTCTCACCCGTTGGCACCGGACGCGAGGTCTCCAGACGCCCCCGCCGTGAGGCACCCCATCATCAGGTCTGTCAGCCCTCGGAACAGCCCGCGGGGCAACAACTTGTGGGTGGCGGGGGTAGAGGCGAGGGAGATCACAGAAAAATAATAAAGACTAGAGTATGGCAAAGATATGTTGATGAGAAACATATTTGTAATACGTCAAACACAAACGTAATCAGGGAGAAAATACGTTTATGGTCAAACGTAATTGAGAATGCATTTTAGTTTTGGGGGAACGTAATTTTTGTAAGTGCCTTTTTTTACTTTTTGGGTCCTTTATTTTGAAGTAATTTTGGCGAAACCTGAAATCTCGTCAGAGAAAAGAAATTTGACTTCGCATGAAGACAAATTGACAGTGCAGACTGAAGAAAAAGTTTTATAAAATAGATTATTTTGAAATTACATTCAACACCTAGCTGGAACGGGAACAAGGATTGTGTGTTGATTGTGTTCATTGTGTTTGATATATTAATATTTCAACTAACAGTCAGATGCTAATGTTAGCTTAATAGGTAAAGCTAAATGACTAAGCTGTAATTTAGACTAAGCACAAGTTTCTGTGCTCAAAGAATATAATATTCGGCGCCACTATGAGACTCACCATGGCGAAAAATACGACCGCTTGCAAGGACAACTGGGAAAAGAGAAGATAAATGACCTGCTAGCAAGTCTAAAGAAACAACAGTCCGTTTTTACCCGGAGCCGAGAGATAAGTGATGCAGCACTGAAAGCTAGCTACCTTATTGCTAACGAAATAGCATCAAAGCCATACTGCGAGGGTGAGTTCGTGAAAACATGCACGCTGAAGGCTGCAGAAATCGTGTGCCCCGAGAAGCGACAGGCTTTTGCCAACATTAGCCTAACGAGGAATACTGTGGCGGATAGGATTGCCGATCTTTCAGCAGATTTGGATGGCCAAAAGAAGCATAAAGTCAAGTCATTTGTAGCATTTTCAGTTGCAATCGATGAGAGTACTGACATTACAGATGTTGCTCAACTGGCCATATTCATTCGAGGTGTTGATGAGACTTTGGCGGTCACCGAGGAGTTCCTTGAGTTGGTACCGATGACAGACACCACTACAGCGAATGACATTTTTAGTGCTCTCATTGAAGCACTGGACTGTGTCGGAGTGGACTGGACCCGTGCTGGCAGTGTGGCTACAGACGGTGCACCATCAATGATCGGGACAAAAGCAGGTGTTGTGATGAAATTCAGGGAGAAAGTACAAGCTACAAATAGAGGACAAAGTTTTTGGATATTTCACTGTATTTTGCACCAGGAGGCATTGTGTTGAAAGTCGTTAAAAATGGATCACGTCATGAAAGTGGTTGTCCAAACTGTTAACTTCATCCGAGCCAGAGGGCTGAATCACCGTCAGTTTGACAGCCTCCTCGGTGATAAAGACATCACATGTGGCCTACCATACCACACTGAAGTAAGGTGGTTAAGCCGAGGTGCCGTGCTGAAGCGTTTTTTTGATCTATGAGAGGAAATTGGACAGTTCATGGAGAAAAAGGGCAAACCAGTGCATGAATTAAAAAAAACCCAGAATGTCTGCAGGACCTTGCATTTATGGTGGATATTACAGAGCACTTGAATAACCTGAACAAGATGCTGCAAGGCCGTAAGAAAGTTGTCACCAATATTATGACAGCATACGCGCATTTAAGTTGAAGCTGACTTTGTGGGAGACACAGCTTTCAAGTGGTGCCGCTGCTCATTTCCCTCATCTAAGAAATGTGCAAATGACCGGAGTTACTGCTGACATGAGTCCCTACAAAGACAAAATTACGGAATTGCTGCTGGAGTTTGAGCAGCGGTTTCAGGTCTTTGGTGAGCTTGAGACCGAGTTTGCAGTCCGCCGCGAGGAGAGCTACCGTCTGTCCCAGCCCCTGCCTCTCGGCGCCCTCTCGATGCTCTTAACTGAGTGTCCCGCGGGGCCCAAAGCGTTTACTTTGAAAAAATTAGAGTGTTCAAAGCAGGCCCGGTCGCCTGATTACCGCAGCTAGGAATAATGGAATAGGACTCCGGCTGTATTTTGCGGGTTTTTCTCTCAGATTCGCTTTGGGGACTTTAAAATCCTCCCCAGGCTAATTACCCCACTCAAAACCCTTTTCGCCGAGGAGATCGGCAAGATGGAGGGGAGACAGGAGAAGAGGGAGCTGAGAAACCCGAGAGGAAGCGTCTCCAAGGTGGACGGCGTGGAGAAGACGCCCGACGTGAGCCGAGGAGCTAAAAGAGTCCAGGAGGATGAGGAGGCGACGCGCAGCCAAGACATCAGGCTTTCAAAAGCTTCAAAACGTATCAGTGGATACCTTTAGTGTCTCTTAGCGCTGAGGAAAGATTTCCTCACCGCGAACTTTTTAAAAGAAAAATGGTGGACCTATTTAATCTGTCGTGCTTTTGATAAAAGCTATTTAATGTAGAAGTATAAACTATTGGTTCATTCTTAATGTGACCGCAATATTCGTTTTTATTTATTATTATTTTTGCCACTGACGTTTTTCGCTGGACACCCGCCCCTCCAAGTAAAAACGCGCTAGCTAGCTAGCTAGCTCTCCCCCGGTGTGTGTACATCTCAGAATACTCATATGTGATTGGCTGAGCTGCATCACGTGATGTGATTTACAACGCATTGGTCGGTGCGTTTCCTGCACCGCTGAACAAGTACCATAAAGGCTGAAAAAGCTGCGCCGGTTAAAATAGAAGCGATCTGTCAAAATAAAATCGGTTTTAGGTCCTGGGTCCGGATACAACGGCGTCTGGGTCCGGATCCGGACCGCGGTGCGCCAATTGGCGACCCCTGTACTATACTATGACTTATTTTTTCTGTTTTCGACATACTATGGCATCACTTCTTTTCACTTTTTAAAAAATACTATACGATCACTTTTTTGACATGCTCTACTATAGCTTTTTACATTATGACATACTATACAATGCCTTTTTTTATTTTTTTCAACATTATGACTTTTTTTGTTTTCCTTTTTTCGACATGCTATACTACAACTTTTTTTTGATATACTATACCATGATTTGTTTTCACATTTCAACAAACTATACTATGACTTTTTTCGACATGCTATTATATTGCTTTTTATTATTTTTTTGACAAACTATACTGTCTTTTTTCACTTTTTTCTAAACAATATACTATGGCTTTTTTGTTACATTTTTGACATTATATTATGATTTTTTTACACACTGACTATATCTTTTTTTATTCTTTTGTTCTATATTTGCTGTTTTATTCATTGTTTTTTCTGGACTATGATTTTGACACACTATTTCTTTTAATTACTTTTTTTTAACATACTGTACAATGACATTTTATGTATGTTTTTGACACAGTGTACTTTGACACCGTTTCAGACTCTTTTTGACATGTTGAACATATTGTGATTTTTGACGTATTATAAAATCTTTTTTTTTCTGACGTTTTTCTACATACTTTTCTTTGACTTTCTTTAGATTGAGTTTTTTTACATCCTATACTATGGTTGTTTTATTGACTGTTTAGACATACTAGTTTAGCAATATAAAAACACGTACCTGTTGATAGAGTGTAATACGGTCTATCACATAAACTGTTCGATATAGTGAATGGTTTCCTTCAGGAAGTTGTCCCAAAGTTTCACAGTCTATAATTCCATATGTTTTTGTTGATCAGAGACTTAAAGTTACAACAAAGAACATTCATTTGTGTCAATCTTGCCGGCCCCTGTGGACGAAATGCGGAGCTCAGCTCCTGGCTGGATGAGGAGACGGTGCTGCCGGGTGCTGAGCTCTTCTTCTCTCGCTGTGAAGAAGAGGTCGAAGGCTGCAGTGAAGCCTGATCCGGGTCTATCCACTGTGAACTGGTCTCTGCTGGAGTCTCAGCTGAGAGAGTTTCATCCGATTTCACACGCACTCCGACCTAAGGGCACCGATGACAAGCATTAAGAATAACTGTATAGATTAGACAATCTTCTCACTAACTTATGTCGGTCATAGAGGGACACTAGTATACATTTGAGACCGTTTCATAACCAGTTAAAAGTTCCTCACGGTAACTTTAGGAACCGTCTCAAGAGCTTTATCTGAAATTACGATTCACCTTTCAACTCCTGTCACTTGAAATAACACCCAAGACAGATTTAATTGCAAACATTTTATTCAATAAGATTTGCACATCAAAACATATCAAAACCAGTTTACAGAGAATAATATACACTACTATGCACATAAACATCATCACACTGAGGAACCGACTCTTCCTGGAGCAGCAATCAGCAACATTCTGGTTAACTGAGGTCAGACCACTCGGACCTGATCTATTTCAGCCTAGACGTATCAGCAAACTCCTCAACAGTGCACATCTGTATCTACTTCACCGTCTGAATGTGAATCCAGCTGTTTTTTTTCTATTGTGTTAAATAATAGTTGCTGCTATAATTTTCCTCTCAAAATATAATTAAAGAGAACAATGCATCTGTTAAAAAGCATTTTCTCATTTTAATAAATCTCAACTGTGGCTCATTTAAGTTTGAAGTGCCATTTCCGCAGTTAAGTTGTGTCTTACTGACGTGGTTTGTCCATCAAATGGAAATCAGGCTGACCAGCACATAAAAGCCACATCAAACCTTTACCAACACTTTTTAAAAAAGGATAGAAGGATAACTTTCTATACCCAATTTCGATGTAAACATGTTCCCCTATTAAAATAGTAAAAGATCTCTGTATTGAATAACATCAGATTTTTCTCTTAAAAAGTTCAGCATGACCATCAACTACATGAAATACAAAGATGGTAAATGTTAAAGAAATGTGTTTAAATATGACTTTTGAAACACAAAGCTGATTCAAGGTATTAAACATGGACATATTACGCTATTGAGCTGTATTAAAAGGCAGGGAAATGAAAACATACTCGCATAGAAATAAGAAACAGACCTCCTCCTCCTGGGGCACAAGTTCATGAACACAATGAACAGCAAACATCAGGTCAGATATCAGAAGAATGGGACAAAAGAAGCTCCAAAAACGCATGAAGATGCCCCCGTATGTTAAGACAGCAGAGACGCAAACAAGTAAAGTGAACTGAAACTTTTATGCAAATATTCTTCATATTCATTATGGAAGACAATCACTGTCCAAATTCACTACTGCTGACAAGAGTCTAAATAACATTAATTTAAAATCTGTAAACCTGGAACAAAATAAATCAACTATCGGACTACAGAAGAGCAAGAATAGCGACAGCAACATGAGCTGCTGGTTCTTTGAAAAGGGACACAAATGAGGGGTTTATTTAGCTATATCGACTATTCCAGTGACTAAAGAAACTATAACATGTAATGCTGTTCCATAGTGTCATTATCAAAGTAATCAGCTCAACCAACTGGAATGTCATATTTGGTCCCATGTTAAATAGCCCTGTATAGTAAAAAAGATCTTATGGGGGCACTGTTCTTTATTCTTAAGTAATTAACAAGTGCCCGTGTAAATTAATTACAAGACTGCGACACGGCTCAATAATGCTGGTTAATAATAATAATAATAATAATAATAAGTTTAATGTATGTTGTTGCATTTCTTATTGCTCAGCCTACAAAGTAAGAGTCTGGATGATCAGGGATTAAAAGTAAGGGAGGAAAGAGTGTAGGAAAAATAAAATTAAAATCTTCACAGTGATAATCTGATGCCAATTAGAAGCAGGGCTGCTGGAACCTAAAATCATCTCACACAATCACTGCTCATGAAGTTGCACTCATGCACGCGCACACACACACACACACACACACACACACACACACACTACTGTGGTTTACCTAGCAGGCTAGACAAGAAGTTAGACCCCTGGCTCTCTCCCCGTCTACTACTCCCTCCTCCTCCAAGGGGATCCATCTGGTTCAGTTCAGACTGATCCAGCATTTCAAAGTCCTCTCCGTCCAAGTCCGTGTCCAGCTCGGAGCTGGACTGCTTGCGGTAGCTTCGGTGGGCTCTGGCCCTGGGAGGGCCTTCTCTGCGAGGAGGCCGAGGTTGCAACGCCCCGGCCAGCGCTGCCTGGATCATGTTGCTGGCGATGACTCCGGCCAAGTCTCCGGCGAAATCGGAGGCAGGTGGCAGCCCGCTGAGAGAGAGTTCTGAATCCAGGTCCTCCTGGTCCGAGTCCAGATGAGCATCTACATCCAGCACTGAGGCCCGGTGACTAGCTAGCGCGGACAGACTCAGCAGACCTATGCTCGTGTCGTCGTCGTCGTCGTCCATCAGAGTGGCATCGGGGTTGATGGAGGGGAAGCCTAGGAGGTCTCGAGCAAATGATTCCTCAGCGTCACTGTGTCTGTCGAGATCTGACCAAAAAATACAGACGGGGACGCAGTGAGGGACAAGAACCAACAGGAAAATAAAAGGAAGAGGACATCTGGAACACCTGCACACTTACCCTCAGAGCCCTCTGTGAGCGGGGTCTGGCCACGCGATAGGTTAAATGTCCCATTATCGGTGTAGGACACCTCAGCATCAGAGTGCTCAGAGTCGGTCAGAGCAAGTTCTTTAGCAACAGTAGCATCATCGAACTAGGAGAGACAGAAGAGGGAAAAATGTTACATATTTTACAAGTTGTTGTGTGTGTGTTTGTTTATATAATGCCTGAGGCAATAACATCTTATTATGAGGCACAATAAGATGTTCCCTAACATCAATATGAACAGAATAATTAGCGGATTAATTAAAATATCAAGAGACTTAGGGAGTTAAACAGACTTACTGATGGGCAGAAAGCAGCCAACTCTTCCTCCTCGCTATCGTTGTCTTCACCCGAGGCTAAGCCGCGGAGAGGCCTCCGCAGGACTGCAGAGAGGAATGACGTACATACAGACAACATGTTTACATTTACACTCATGAACAGTACCGCGTCATCAGTTTAACAAGTGGAACCAAAGTCCAAATGAGCAGCCTGAAGACATCACGTATAGGTAACGCAGTAAAATCCGAACCATGTTGAATTGTTCTTAGATTAAACGTTGATGTTCAGAAGAATAACGCGCTGTGAAATCTGAGTGAAAGTTATCTTTACGTAACATTTCTTTGTTGAAGGTCAAATTATGGCTTTGACTTTATTTGCATTGTCAGATCAGCACGCAGAAAGTTCTAAATATCAACATTTTTTAATTTTTAAACGTGATGCAATACTCACACTGATTATCAATGGGCTTTGACATCATGAAGCCACAAGCACTGAAGTCCAGTCTCTGCAGGACCGGATCCAGCTTCAAACACACATGCTGAAAAACCCTGTGATAGGCTCCCAGAGGAGCCAGGACAGTAGCCCACACTAGAGAGGAAAAGAAAACGTGTCATTAGGAAAACAGGAGGGACTTCTGTTGGGGTCGTTTCGTACAAAAACAGCTGTTTGTGTTTACATTCGGTACAGATTCAGTTCCTAGATTACTCTCATCACTTAAGACACAAGCCTGTGAGAGCCTCAGTAGAGAGACAGACAAAGTGGGGTAGAGGGAGCAGCAGTGGGTTGTTTCAGGACGTCAGAGGAGAAGGCCTTGGCAGCTCGTGCCCCCCCGGCTCTCCAGTCCACACTGGTTAGAGGGTAGGAGATTAGCCTGTCTCACTCTGACCTCCTTTGCTTTCTGCCTGGCTCCACTCCCTCCCTCCCTCCTTCCTTCCTTCCTTGTGTGCCTCATCCTGGGCTTTTTAATCACCTCACAGGCCAGGCTCTGGTACTGGAGCTCCACAGATCTGGTTTCAGCACCCATGTATTTTTAAAGAGGACTAAGTCAAGCCGAGTTTCTGAGGGATCTGTAGTTAGAACCGATTAAACCGCCGGGACTCACCAGCAGAGTAGGAGAGCACCAGTCCAGGAATGGAGCTGCCAACCACAGCCAAGCAGCTGAACACTCCACAGGTCAGCATGCAGAACTGACACAGAGCAACAACACACAGGGAGTCAAGTCAGCACCTAGAATACTAAACATATACACATGTACCATATACATATAACTATGGTACATGATGACACATCTGATGCTTACAACCACAATAGGGCTGGACAACATGTTGACATTCACTCATTCAGTCACAATTATCATAATCACTCCAATTATAACATGGGATGAATTGTTGTGCCTAGTTTGAGAATAATTACTAAGATTTCAACCTGAATGACTTTAAATATACTTGAGATTTTGCATGATTAAATGTGTCACCATACCAAAAACAGATGATGAGCTATAAACAGTATATACAGTATATAGGGTTTTTTTCCCTATTGTGTGTGGTCCTCACCTTGCCAGGCTGATGCTGTTTGTACTGCACCACACTGGATAAGAGAAGTGCTCCACTGACCCAGGCCTCAGCGATGTGGTGGCACAGCTCAGGCACACTGAGAATGCCCGGCTGCACCAGACCCCAGCTAGAAGACACAAAGAGGGGGAAATGATTAATACCTTTATACCAGTATTATTGTTGGTATTATCTTTTAAGGTGGTTGGTTACAGTAACAAACCTCTCAGTTTCTGAATCGTCCAGGTTGCTGACTGTGTAGAGAGAGAACATTCATCACTTTAAGAAACATACGGAGTGTGCAACATATAAAAACTCCAAATTGTGTTACATTTTCTTCTTAAACGTTTCACCACTTTGATCTCTTGGTGTGTGTGTGTGTGTGTGTGTGTGTGTGTGTGAGAGAGACACAAGTTAAAAATCAGGTTATTAACTGTTTTTAGATGCAATAGAAATCCCTTTCCCCGCGGACTGATTACATATCTACTCTGACTAATTGCATCTGTTGCAAATGACAGCAACTTGAGGAATAATCTATCGTGAAAAAGCAACTTCTATCACCTCTAATCACAGGCCAGATCTTATTTCTCCAGGTATCAACACAGACGACCACAGCCAGACCAGAAGCCAGCAGGAACAGCAGGCGCAGTGAGGTCAGGGCGAAGAACCTGGAGGGGAATAAAAACACAGATGAACGGACAGTACAACACAGACAGAGCAGTAACGATATACAAAGTTATACAATTCAACAGCTCATTAGAATGAAACCACAACACCTGTTTCCTTTATTCAGAATGAAGAAAAGGGGAAGTTATCCCTCCCTCTGGTCTGTGTTACACTCACTAGTTATTAGTTAGCCACTTACTTAGGAAAGAATGTGACATGTTTATGACCAATAAAGACAGTGTTGACAATTAAATGTCCTATTCACTTTCAATGGAAGAGCTAGAGGCTGCTTCTAGATATCGCAGGTGTTGTTTAATGCGGTTCCATCTTTGAAGGAGTGTTGTCCTCAACACTTAAAGTCCCGATGTGTTGCTCCACTTTCACATCACAAGACCTCGTAATGTGTTGACTACAACAATGTTACAGGATTCAGCCAATCGGCAGAGATTAACAAAACAAAGAGTTTGTTGGCAGAGACGAGAGGTGCGTGTTGGTATTTGGGGCAGCAGTGCAATTAGTACAGTAAGTTAAAAAAACAAACATAAAATGTAATTGTCTTAGTAAATCTAGCCCTATGCAAACACAACAATATGTACTTGTACTACAAATTGATGCAAAACAATAAAATGATGGACTGATGGAATAAAGTCTGAATGACTGAACTCCATCAGCAGACCGGCCGACCCAGCTTCTTCTCCGGTCATACAATACATAACACAATAATAACAATAACACAGTCACCTAATTTAACCAAATCTTGGCCTCGTGGACTACAGTTCTGGTCTCAGGCCTGATCACACCTGGAGACATACAGGAATAGACTGCTATTCACTGACACGTGCTCAATACCTCACTAAAATGACATTCCTCTAACTTCTGTGGGGACAACACATTGACTTGTAGATTGCAGAGGATTGGTAAAGCGGATGACCCCGCGGCACCACGCTGTCATCGAGCTTAAGGAAACGGTAGAAGTGTCGGTAGAGTCTATAAATAGAGCCATTAGTCAGCCATCTGTCTCGTCTTCAACTGACAGGTGAAGCGTTTGTGTGAAAGCACCAGCTGTCACGCGGCCACACCTGCTGACGACCTCTGTATTGTCTAAAAGCAGGTTGCTATGACACTGGTAAACACGAGCTTTGGGAAACACAACGAGTTAGCCATTAAAATGTGCTAAAGTAAGAGTTGTAACTCACCAGAACACAACGTTGACCGCGGTGTAGAGAAGCACACACTGTAGAGGTCTCTCCCACACCAGGACGGACTGTAGGTAGGTCAGGACGGGCTCGTAGGGCCCCAGCCGGGACTGAAGAGCCGCTTTGACCGCCCGGACATGACCGTCTCTCTCGCTGGAGCACGGTCGACTCCGCAGGCAGACACTAGACCCTTGCTGGACAGAGCAATCGTCCGCGGCTGCGTCTCCCGTTGCACCAGTGTGCGCCATCTTAGCGTCTATAGTCGATACAGTCCGCCTGTCAAATAAAGACATTAGTGGAAGAAAGTAACGTTACAGGCGGAGCGCCACGGAGCAGCTCCACTCACAACGTCGGCTAATGAATTGCTAAGCTAGCTGTATCATCGTGATAGCGTCTAACACTAAACACTACATTATAATACAAGCGAGCATGTTATCAAAGACAGTGATGACACGTACTATTTCGACATTTTTGAAGAAATGACGCGCTCTCTTCGCAAGCTGACAATATGGCGTAACCTGTTTTCTGTTTTTCTGAGTCCTCAACAGCCAATCAGAGTCCCTTCAGGCCCTGCGTAATGCTGCGTTCGTGTGCAATGGGAATAATTTGTTTTACATTGACAAACATGTCAGCAAGCCATCATGAAAACCTCTTTTAAGTTAAAATTGTCATGTATCCATTTTTTTGTCCTTTATAATTTTGCATGGCTGTGTACGAACCAAATAAAGTTGAGCAAATCAAATATATATTTAGCTTAGAGGCTCCGTTGTTCGATTAAATATGTTGCAGTTTGTGTGCAACGAGAGGGTGATTACATTATATATATTCTGAATCACTGAAATGTCAGAAAAACGTCCCTCGAGCTGTGACCCATAAATGCAACAGAGGTCTGGTTACACAATTATCTTCAATGTAAAAGTTCGTTATTGTGTTATTTAAAATATTGATTGTACATATTTTAGATGGGGAATTGGAAAATTGTGTACGCTACTGTGTCTGCCTTTAGGCTTGGCACCATAAACTGTTATAAGAAGAATATGGCACTGGAGTTGATGGCTTATTAAAAGCATTAACTGTATTTATAAGTTGTCTACAGTGCCACCCAGTGGTCACAGTGTATAACTACATCCTGCTGTAATGGCTTTATTTCGAATTACTTATCCGGAAATAATACTATGCTATTGTGTCTAACTTGATTAGCAGTTTTCAGCTACAGTTACACATTGTGACCACAAGGGGGCAGAAAAACTCATGACTATAGATGCACTATTTACTGTATAGTCATGAGTTTTTCTCAGTTTTTCTTACAGGCAGAATATACAATACAGCTGGTGCTGATTGTTATGATCAGATTAAACAACAAAACGCTCTCAAATTAAATTAAATTAAATTAAACGCTCTCAAAACAACAAAAAAACAAACTAAATTAATTTTGGATCAAACATTTATCTCTTTATTGTAGAAGCAACAGCATTTGTCACAGTCATACAACTACTCAGCTCCTTCCAAATCTGGTCCATTTAAAATAGCCACACACACACACACACACACACACACACACACACAATATTTATATTATTTTACATTGTAAATTGTGTCTGCTGTTTTCTTTGACATGTCGTACCCCTCTATCTTTTAAAATACACAGATATGTAGTTACAAAAAATGGCCACTGGAGGGCAATGAATGAACAGTCCATCAACTCCGGGAACGTCAAGCTAGAAATATTGATACTTCCGGCAAAGACTTTCAAAATAAAACTTTCAAACCACCGCAGGAAACAAATTTAAACCAGAGAATGGATGCAACCTTCATGGCTTTCATGTGAAGTTGACTTGTAAAAGCGAGGATTCCCTACATTTTGCCTGGATTCTCTGCCTGGAACATTGAAATGTGTTGAAAAATCTGCTTTATGACTCGACAAACTCCGACACAGTAGGTGGCGGTAGTCAGCTTTATTATGGCTAATCAACCCACCTATACACAGCAGAAGAAGACTGCTTGGAGCGTCACATCAGCACCAAGCGGGAAGCAGCGCGCTGGTGGTGGAGCAGTGTGAGCAGTAGTCGACTTTTCTTGTTTTGTTTAGCTAGCAAGCAGGCTAGCTAAATAAGGAGCACCGGAATACCGAAGATGCCTCGGGAAATCATAACGCTCCAGCTCGGACAGTGTGGAAATCAAAGTACGTGACCGACGAGATGATTGTTAATATTGCTCTATATCCCTCTTCTACGTTAGCCAATGTCCGACATTTAAGTTAGCTAGCTAGGATGATCTGTCACACGAAGGCGTTAGCTAGCTAAATCTAGCTAAAATCAAAATATAGCGAACATAATCAGCGACAGCGTGACCTAGGTTAGCCTACGAGTGGGTAACGGGATCTTCAACGTTACAAGTACAAGACACGTTACCGTTAACAGACGTTACCTGCGTGTGCCATTCAGACAACAACGCAGCTTATGATAGCGTTGATGTGTATAATGTTTGTCTATTTAAGATCACAAACGGCTAATTAACGTGACCTAACGTGTTGCTAACCTGCTCCTCTCTGTCTGTTTTTTTGCAGTTGGTTTTGAGTTTTGGAAGCAGCTGTGTGCAGAGCATGGCATCAGTCCAGAGGGGATCGTGGAGGAGTTTGCTACTGAGGGGACCGACAGAAAGGATGTGTTCTTCTATCAGGTAACATTATCGCTACAAAAAGGAGCATCTTTTCTGCTCACCATGAAGATTGTACGTTCAGTCTTTGTGCAGCAACATTATGTGCCACTAGATGGAGTAGTTGCAGTGTAAACTGAAGTAACTTAGACTCTGCATGCACACGCACATGGCCCCTCAGAGACTGTGCAGTGTCACCAGATAACTCCTGGTTATTCCTAACACTCACAGGCTGACGATGAGCACTACATCCCACGCGCGGTTCTGCTGGATCTGGAGCCGAGGGTGATCCACTCCATCCTCAACTCTCCGTACGCAAACCTTTACAACCCGGAGAACATCTACCTGTCTGAGCACGGAGGCGGCGCTGGGAACAACTGGGCCAGCGGATATTCACAGGTGATCACCGGGAATGACGTGTTCCTTTTTGGAACCCTGAAAAACAACAACAACAACAACAACAACAAACATGTAACACATCTACAATTCTGCTCTGGTTTTTATCCTTTCCCCTTTTTAGGGCAAAAAAATCCAAGAAGACATCTTTGACATCATTGACCGGGAGGCAGATGGCAGTGACAGTCTGGAGGCAAGTCTGGAATAAAAAAAAGAACTGATTTAAAAGTACCGTGATATTGTTGCGTGTAGACAGAAATATTACAAAGCATAGCCAACTTACACTCGTACCCCAAACATGCAAGAAAACATCAAAAGCATTCATCGTTTGTAGTTCATGTCAGATGGAACATGTGGAAACAGCAGGAACTTTGTCCCGAATAATGGACACAAGCATGTAATAAAGCCACCACTCCTACATGGCAGCACGGTACCCAGACTGGCTCAAACAAAAAGGAAACGACTTGTTTGTGGTTGTTTCGCGTCTTTCTGTGACATTTTGCAGGTGTAGCTCTTTGGCCCCGGGGCCTCTGCCCGGTAGGCCCGTTCAGTAATTCATCAAAACATGACTTGCATCTTTTATTGCGGTAAAATAGAAACCAATGACTTGATCTAAACTATGTTAAAATGGTGCCGGTGCCTGACATCCTAAAACTAGCAGAGCCCCACACACACGCCTCACTATTATTCTTAGCCTCTTTTTTTTTTTTTTTTTGGTGAACTTCATCCAGCTGCCAGCCTCCCATTAAAGAAAAAAAAAAAAAAAACACTCACATTTCCTCTCAAGGTCTGCAATTTCTGTAACTCATTCACATTATGACCCCACATTATTATTGAGTGTGTGCGTCGGATAAGAAGGTGGGGCCGAGCTGCCGTGAGCGTGTGTGTGTTGGCAGGGTGTGGCGTGGTGATAATAGCCGGGCGAGTGTGGAAGGCAGGTATTACCGGGCTGTGTTGGGGGGGGGGAGAGAGAGGGAGCCTATTTGTGAGGTGGGGCTGCACTCCCATTTATATAACTGCCAAGGGCGAGAGAGGCATTTGCTCACCCACACACATTTGGCTTTTTCTGGAGTTTACAGTGAGCTTCATACACACGTGGCACATTGCTGGAGCTGTAAACGTGAGTAACTGTTTTGTCTTTGTAGGGATTCGTCCTCTGTCATTCCATCGCTGGGGGGACGGGCTCGGGGCTTGGATCCTATCTGCTGGAGAAACTCAATGACAGGTCAACAAACAGAAATGCAACTTGTTCCTTTGTGTGTGTGTGTGTGTGTGTGTGTGTGTGTGTGTGTGTGTGTGTGTGTATAAATACTATATATTCTGATCTGCAGGTACCCAAAGAAGCTGGTGCAGACGTACTCCGTTTTCCCAAACCAGGATGAGATGAGCGACGTGGTCGTTCAGCCGTACAACTCGCTGCTCACGCTGAAGAGGCTCACCCAGAACGCAGACTGCGTGGTGAGCAGCTGATTAATCCCAGTGCTCCCGTTGCTTCACAACGCAGCCGTGGCTCTAAAACAACCTCCACAAGACGGCTTAAAACACACTTTCACACAAGCCCCGGTTAGCTTGTCAAAATACTACACTGTAGCTGAACTGCTCCTCTGTCAATGAGCTGAAACAGGAAACAAAAAGGATCGATACTTCACCCTTTGAGTGTGTGGTTTTGTAATTTCACCACCCAGTTGTCACTTGTCTTTTACGGTTATGAACGTGAATAACCTCACAAAGACTCAAATATAAGGAGGGGACAATAAGCTGCTTGTAGGCAGGCTTCACAAACAGACAGCATACAATACAAAGAGAGAAAGCTACACAGATGAATCCATAAGTAGCTCTTTATGACATTACATCTGTGTCAACGTCCATACAAATGTATCACAAATATGAATAAGAATAATAAACGTCAGCATCACAACGATAATAGGCCCATACAATATCTAAATATCGTCGACACCACTCCCCTCATAAGGAACTCCTTCTCCCGTCAGCAGACGATCCCACTTCTCCTCCTCACTGATTGTACAACAGACTAATAAAGAAGCAAACTGCAGCGCCAGCAATCAAACTGAATAAAAGTCAGTCTCACGTTGGTGATTGTGTTAGTCTGAGATGCTCCAGCGGTCTAATGGTGTTTTCTCTCTAATACCTACTTCCTCCAGGGTCATGCATAAGGCCCTCATGTTGATTAAGTTAGCCAGAGAGCTAATAGACTCTGTCCCCCTGTTGCAACTGTGTTGCCCTTTAAGAGTCCTCACACGGACACCTTCTTGCTCTTTCTTTAACATCGGCAGCAGTCGATTGACCTACTAAGTGTTTTTCTTTTTTTGCTGGAGGGAATCTCTTCTGTTATCTCTTCATGTGTCTAATAAAAACCCTCCTGTGTGTGTGTGTGTGTGTTGCACATCAGGTGGTGTTGGATAACACGGCTCTAAATCGCATCGCCACCGACAGGCTGCACATCCAGAACCCCTCGTTCTCTCAGATCAACCAGCTGGTGAGTTGTTGCAGCCTCCACCTCCTCCAGTTGTTTTCACAGCTCGTCAGTCAGCAGGGGTTTAGGTATACCCGACTACCGGGCTGTGTTCAAACAAAGGCCAACGTCAAGACCGGCTCCACTACACTTCGAAATCGACGAGCTTCAGAAACTAGTTTGGCGAGTCCGTTGCACGTCGGACCGGATTTCAGCTTTCCTTAGAAATGAGGCGCTGTCAATCAAGCTGGCTCGACAGGAACCACACGTGGAGATTTTGAAATTAATTAATTTATCTAACTCTTAATAACTTCTGTGTAAGCATAGCAGACTGTAGTTTATATTTAACTGAGCTGTACCTTCACACACACAGGTTTCCACCATCATGTCTGCCAGCACAACCACGCTTCGCTACCCGGGCTACATGAACAACGACCTCATCGGCCTGATCGCGTCCCTCATCCCCACACCCCGCCTCCACTTCCTCATGACTGGCTACACACCACTGACTACCGACCAGTCGGTGAGTGACAGAAGAGCATCGGTGGGGCTGTCATGGAATGCAAGCTTGCAGTTCGCGGGTTGATATTTGAAAGTCCCTGAGATGTTGTAATCTGTTTCAGGTTGCTAGCGTGAGGAAAACCACGGTGCTGGATGTGATGAGGAGGCTCCTGCAGCCCAAGAACGTGATGGTGTCCACGGGACGAGAGAGGCAGTCCAACCACTGCTACATCGCCATCCTGAACATCATCCAGGGAGAGGTGGACCCCACGCAGGTACGAGCGCACGCGTGTACGGTTTCAATCTCCATTTCTATGAATTCCAGACGGCTTAACTCACTTTTGTTTGTACTCTACTGTACAACAATAGGTGCACAAAAGCCTCCAAAGGATCCGGGAGCGTAAACTTGCCAGCTTCATTCCCTGGGGTCCCGCCAGCATCCAGGTGGCTTTGTCCAGGAAGTCGCCGTACCTGCCTTCGGCCCACCGAGTCAGCGGCCTGATGATGGCCAACCACACAAGCATCTCCTCTGTAAGTGCTCATCTTAGGTGTTGCGTCACCGCAATCTGTTCCGTTACATTCTCCGCCAGTGTGTATTCAAACAGTTGAGACCTGTGTCTGTTCTGAGACACTTGAAGGATATGCATTATCCTAAAACGGCAGCAGTTGGAGGGGAATTCCACAAAAATTAGGTTTTTTTTTTGGGATTGTCATCCTGTCGAATTCCTCTTTTTCCACCTTTTAGTGGTTTGAAACGTGAGCTGTGAAGTTGAGGGAAAATGCAGCCTTGTGATGTCATTAAATGACTTCCTCTCTTTATAATGCCCAAATTTAAATTTGAAGTGAAGTCATACATTTCGTTTTCGTTTCTCGTAACACAGAAGTTAAAAGAAAACGAAACAAAGTCTTCCAACTTTTAAATAAGTCCCGAGTGAGAAGCTGAAACGTAATCGCTTACACTTGGTCTCTGCTGTCCCGCAGCTGTTCGAGCGGACTTGCAAGCAGTACGACAAACTGCGGAAGCGGGAAGCCTTCCTGGAGCAGTTCCGCAAAGAGGACATATTCAAGGACAACTTCGACGAGCTAGACAACTCTCGCGAAGTGGTCCAGCAGCTGATCGACGAGTACAGCGCGGCCACGCGGCCCGACTACATCTCCTGGGGAACGCAAGAACAGTGAACAGACTAGTGTGTCTTTGTGTCTCAACTACAATGGAGTCGGCAGCATACATGCATAGCTAGTTTATTCTAACTCGATTTCTTCACTTTTCTAAATATTTTCTCCCACACATGGGTGTCCCAAAGAGACGGGTAATTGGCTGTAGCTGCTTCTCTGGGAAAGAGACTTATTGGCTTGTTATAGTATTAAATAGTATAACATGATTGTGACTCGAATTTGAAAAGAGACTGATGGAAGCTGTATCACATCCGTGAGATTCTCAAACCCAGTTTAAATAAAACAGTCCAGTGAAGTGAAAGTAAGAGTTCTTCTGTGCAGAGAGCATCAATACATCTTGTACAAAACAATCTATAAATGTCTGTTAAGTGTGTTTCTTCTTCTTTTTCCTATATTCAGCTTTCCTGCCTTGTAGCCTATTTTCAGCAATGTCAGCCAACCCGTTGCCTTGTTTTGCTCTATTTTTGTACTGAGTACAGTACTACGTTTATTTGTGCAGTAGATTTACAGGAAAGCGTCCACAGCCTACGACATGATTGCCTCGAGTGATGGGAGTAAGATTGACGGACAGTGTTGCATGATGGTTAATGCAGGCCCCCCCGGACATGTCTGTCTGCTGCTGACACACGTTGCTCATTCGTTCCCGCTGTACGTGACCAACAAGAATGTCAAGTTGGGAGTTGGGGCGTGAGCCAAAAAATGATGTTGACATTTCAACGGCGTTTGTCAGGTACAATAGGAAAAGTAACAGTTTGCACGGATGAACAAGAATGGATTTCATGTTAACACTTCATCACTACGCCTGTAAATATACTCAACGAAATGCTGGTTCACTGGCATGCTCTGTATTAAATGTACTGTTTCATGTTGCTTGGCTCATTGGACCGGTTTGAAATGATGAATAAACAAGTTTTCTACAATTTTCCATTAATCTCACTTATCTGCAAAATGATGAAACACCACTTTTCCCTCACCTGGATCTGCAGTGTTCTGGTGGCCGTTCGTCTAACTCAATTAAGGCTCATTACCACGGGGGAACGTGAAGGCACTTAGCAACGTTTGCTCAACCGGCCATTGTTTTTAACCTTTTATAAAACGTCTGGTTGAAAACAATAGTCCAGTCGAAGCACATTTCCTAAAAATGAAACAAAGGAAATGACGGCTGAGGCTACAAAACACTACTCGACACTCAATATATGGTAAAATGGTGCTGTTTTTTTATTAATTACATACAGTATTTATAGTTTTTATTGCACTTTCAAGTTAGTTAAAAACAAACAATAGTGCAATTAACTACACACACACACACATTACATTAAAAAGGTACCATGCAGCGTACGAACAAGCTTAATACAAAGCAACGACACGGGCAGTTTGATTTATCTGCTTTTCAAACTTGGGAGCTCGGAGCTGCCTGCAGCTGCAGTAGAAAAAGCAAAGACCTGCTCCTGAGCAGGAGACGGGCTGGCTGTGCAATGACTCGTCAAGGCCTTTCATGGTGAGGCTGGTTGTCGCATGGGGGTCGTGTAGCAGACTCTACTCTAAAATGATATTTACAAAGCCTATCTATGGTATCAAACTCTTAAAAGGTAATCATCTACATTAAAAAAAGGAGTACAACGTATACAACAGGATGTCTTCATATCTGTCTGACATTCAAGTTTAAAGAGAAATTAGTAAATGTGAAAACAGTCAAATATAGATTGGGGGGATTTTACAGCTTTTTGGGGATAATTTATTGTTATAAAAAATAAACATCTTTGGTCCATGCTTTAAACCCATGACTCGGCGAAACTTTGGCTTCACAAGAATACTCAAACAGTGAACACAAAGATGGAGCTACACATGATTTACACATCTGGACTGCTTTTAAAGGAGCAGAACCAAAAGCTTTTTATGGCTCTTGGTATAACCTTATATCAAAACACATCTGGGTCTGCATTTAAGACAAAGAACAGTAAAAAATAGCAAAGTTTGCATAAATAATACTACAAAAGCACCCATGGCCTGATTCAAAAGGTTTCTGTTTAAATAGCAGGGGACAGATGTGGAACTGCACGGTAAATACGGCATCACTTCTTAAATGATCCAGATGTCTGACTAGGGGTTATATATATATATATATATTTTGTGAAAACAACAATAAACAGAGAAGCACCTGTTATTTTCAGCAGAGTAGAGCTGTATTAGGAGGATAGCAACTGACATAAGCAAAAATGATCCAATCAGTCAAGTGTTAACAAAGTTTCGTGTCGAGGATTACAGCCAAGACAAGCAGCACAACAAAGGACACATGAGAGAATTTGGTGGGAACAGCGTAGAAACAGCTCCACGATCCTTTGGTTTTCTGCGAGACAACATTAAATCAGATCCTGAATGTGTAATCCAGGAAACGTTTTTTTCTTGATCAAATAGACACACACACACACACACACACACACTGATAATCCCATCGGTAAGAGTCTAGATGGCAATGGCAGCCAAAGTGACTTCGCTACAGAGTTCAACATCTGTTTCCAGTTCCAAGTTCACATGGCTGACTGCATCAACAGTTCCAGGTAATGCAAACCGGGCTGAGACCTTATGAAAACGGACCGTCTCTGATGAACATGTCAGCATAAGGGCACGTGAGAGAGTGAGTGTGTGTGTGTGTAAAAAAAAGAGAGAGAGCCAAAGACAGAGGTGTGTGTGTGTGCGCGTGTCACTGAATGTTCCCAACACTATTCCAGCAGTGCATGAGGGACAAAGGCCTTCTAGGAAAGGCAATACAAATATGGCACACTATGAGAGAGAAGAGAGAGAGCGAGAGAAGAAAGAGAGAGTAGTGTTTTCACTCTAAGCCACACCTTCATGATGGGAGTACCACAGCTTATTGTTGCCATAAGTCCTAGCTGTGATGCCATCTCTCCCTGATGCTCACGCCAACGTCTCACATTGTCGAGGGGGGGGTGTGAGGTGTTGCCATGTTGGGTAACAGAGGTGGTTGCGTGACAGGATGGGGTGGAGGGTGTGTGACAGCTCATCAGCAACCGCATTGGTTTCTGTGGGTTTCTGACCTCACTTGCAAAACAGAACCCCCTTGCCTTCCCGTCCCGTCCCGTCCCGTCCCGTCCCCGTCCCCACCCCCTCCCTCCCCCCTCCATTGGGCCAGCTCCTTCAGCTGGAAAGCTCAGCAAGGGTTTATTTTCACGGATGGGGAGCGAAAACAGCCCTCTCTTTGTTTTGGCTGCCGTGCCGTTCCCAGTGGAGGAGGCGTGGTGCCCTGAGGACTGGGGCTGGGCCTCATAGGGGCCACGTGGAGGAGGACGGTGGGGGGTTGGGGGGGGGGGGGGGGTGTCCGGCTATGGGTCTCCTTCAAACTGGGTGCGAGGGCAGCTCCAGGAGGGTGCGTTTGTGTGTCGAGGCTAGGTGATGGAATCCCACCCCTGTGCTTTCTGTTATGGTGATGTCCGCATCTTCCCCTTTCCCTCGCTGGCGACGGATGGCACTGAAATACGCATTCATCAGCTGCATGATCTCAGTCAGCTGTGACAGAGAGAGAGGGAGAGGGAGAGGGAGAGAGAGAGAGAGAGAGAGAGAGAGAGAGAGAGAGGTCAGATTGGTGGCAGTCTCAGTGTCTGTCTGGCACTGTCACACGAGGGTGGAGACGGATGATGTCATCCAGCTGGATCCTCCAGAAGCCAAGGATGATGTTGTTTAGCAGATTTTAGAGAACACACACACACACACACACACACACACACACACCCCTTGATCAGAAAAAAATAAGCATTACATGTACTTGGATATTTCATCACTTTGACATATTTTATTCAGCACCAGAAAAAAAAAAAAAAAGTACTGGCACTGCTGAGGAGTTCATCTGTCTCTCTGCTACTCTGACCTTGGTGGACATGACCACCAAACCACCATAAGCCACCGTGACCATTACCCTTACTTTAGTCCTGCTAATGCTTGCCTAAACACGGTGTGTCAGAACATAGAGTAAAACAGTCTCCAAGTTTAAACCAAAACCTACTCTTCAACTGTCACCCTATGAATGAGCAGCAAATCTCGCCCTTACCCTCAACTCCAGGCCCAACCACAATCACCCCCTGCCATTTCGTTCTCTCTCTCTCTCTTTTTTTTCCTGCCCAGTAGCTGAAAACGCCCGCACAGTCATGTCAGAGCAATATGAGACCGTAAGGTCATAAAAAGTAGGAGCCTTACTGGGCTCCGTTTCAATTCGCCTGTGCGTCCAATAAATAAATAAAAGCCACTTTTGTGCCCCATGAGAGATCACAGAGGGATTTTTTGTTTCCGCGTGGGAAGATGCAAGCTAATCTGCCCCGTGAAAGGCAAGATTTGTTCTCTGCTTAAAAAAAAAAAAGAAATGTCTGTTTGGAAGAACATCCATGCTTCTGAGAAATGTTGCCTAATATTTTAATCCAAACACTGCAATAAAACTCACCCCCCCAGTTGCCATGGATTAATGCCAGGATGTTAGACTTGTGGTGGTTAGCATCGGTTGGAGAGCAGGGGGCAGGTTGTGCACTCTCTATTTAGACCAAATTAATGAGTGTTTTTAAAGTGGGTCAGAGAGCTGGAGGGAGGGAGGGGGGGAGGGGGTATCATGAGCAGACAGTGTGCTTCTTTCACTTACTCTGCAGAACATTGCATGGTGATAAGGCGACTTGGCCCTGCACTGTCCACAAACTGAATCCCGACTACAGTGGAGATAGCGTGTGTCTAAGCTCAGTGGAGAAACAGCTCCACTGACTGTATATGATAACCTGATAGCCACTATACCTTGGTGGTTTCAAACAGCAGATCCCGATCCCCAGCTGTGATCTTGAAGGTGTTGCTATCAGATACGCCGTAAGAACAGATCTGGCCATAAGGGAAGGACTCCAGGGCCTCTGCCTCTCCCTGCCGATACAGAGACACGGATGTAGCAGCTACACCCAACCACAGCTTCTGGGAAAAACTCCCTGTCGAACTCTTGGGGGGGGGGGGGGGGAGAAGGTAAGCAGATATCAGAACAGCTCACAGCTATGCTTTGACTCATCTCAAGAGTCCAAGTGACTCTTCAGCATTGAGGGAGCAAAATCCTTTTAGTCCAACAATAAAACCAAAGCGGACCCCCCAATACTCACAATGTAAAAGTCCACTTCATAAAGAGTGCATCCAAAGCCCGACCACTGGCGTGCAATTGTGAGGTAGGCAGCCATACTGTCCCTGCGGCTGTAGCCGGCCAGGTCTTTCCAGCGCTCCAAGATGGATCCCATGACAGCTGCCGCCTCCTCCTTCAGCCGGCTCCGCAGGCGCATGTCCTGCTCCACCTTCTGCTTGTGCGCTGCTAAAGCCGTGTGGCTCCACAGCGTCCCTGCCAGGAGGCCCGTGGGGAAGCGCTGTGCCGTGTGGCAGTCCTGAGCCGCCACCTGGCAAGGAGGCATGGCTTGGGGCGCAGAAAGGGACACGACGACTCGAGCCTCAAGCATGGGACCTGGGTAAAGCTCGTCCAGAGGAGGGCAGGGGGCGTGTGTGCTGAAGTCACCCATCAGACACTGAAGCCTCAGGGAACCTAAGGCCTGCAGGTCCTCATCACAGGTTGGCAGCTGGCCACGCACCACCATCTCATGGCACTGCAGAGCAAAGGCCAAAGTGAGGACAAACAGAGACCGAACAAATTTGTCAGCTATAGCCTCAGTCCTGCCATCAATCCCTTCTACCCCACCTTGTTTTATTTTGTCCCATAACTCTTTTATGGGAGTCCTCAGGAAAAATGTTCTAATGAAGCCAGTGCTGGCTGCCTTTTACCCCCTCTGCACTACAGCCAGTGCTCTTAGTCATGCACTGTGCTTTATTGCAATCACAGCCTATAAGACATTAATGATTGTTAAGTAAAAAACGTAATAATCCAATGAAACGCGAGGAATGAGTCACCGCAGAGCAATGAATTATATCTCATTATCAGCACTGAAATGGCCTCGCATACCAAAGACACTTCTCCGAGGAGGACTCTGCCCTTTGAGGACTTGTGTTCTGCTACATTACCTGCTCAAAGAGGAAGAGATACTCAATGCTGTCCACTGATATGCTGTCAGCATCCAACAGGCAGTAGAGCTTGAAACACAGCTTCCATTGGGATGTAGACTCCGACTCTTTGATGGAGAGGCTGTACAGAAAAGACAGAAAGGACACAAATATACCAAGAATTAAAACCCTAGATGGTAATATGTTACAAGATATTGCCTCCTCAATGTGTAATAATGTTGTTTAGTAAGGTTGCGGCAAAAAGGTCCCTTTTATTCCAGCTGGATGCATTATCGTTTCATTTGAAGCTTTGCCTTGTGCAACCAAATGACATCAGCTTCACCTTGGCTGTTCCAGCGGCTGGCTGGCTTTGCTGACAGAAATAGTGACACAAGTCCAGTTTCCCAGTAAGGTGTCATGTTTGACCAACAAGACCAGACAAGGTCACCAGTTATCAAGGATACTGGATAACGCTCAGCATGGGAGTTGGACCAGCGAAGATAAATGTACAATCCACCGCTCTGTTGGCATTCATCTAAGGTGGTGACACATAGATAAGAGATTCCTGCCAGACAGAGTTTTGATAGCGTGTCTGTCTGCTTGGTTTTATTGTGTCTGACCCCCCCCCCCCCCCCGTGTCTGTCTGTTCTGTTTTACAGGGTGAAGACGGACAATCGCTTTTCAAACCTGGTCAGGATGTCTGCGATGAGAGCGCTGCCAGCGACCGGCTGCTCCCACAATGCATTCTGCTCGTACAGAGCAAACGTGTTCTTGCTCTCCTGCAGGCCGAGCTTCTGCTGCATCATTCGAACCACCTGGTGAGAGGGGCGACAGGAAGTGCGTTGAAAAGACGGGCGGACACACAAACACGGTTGAATTTTAGCTGAACGATTGAGAAAGTTGTGCTTTGCAGTGGAATACAGTTAAATGTGCCCAAACCTCATTGGCCGTAGTGTGCGAGCTGATGAAGAGCTGGCAGGATAACGGGCCAGGATAGTGCACAGTGCACAGCATCTCCTGTCGGCTCATCAGCACCTGGATCTCCTCCCAGGATGGCACACACTCCCGACACTTGGTCTTCTCCAGAGCCTCGCTGATGAAAGACGCGTAGTTATCCATCTCAGACTCGGGACTCTGGCTCTGGATCCTGGAAGAAAGAGCGGGAGTGAGACGGGTGGATACGCGTCGTGTGTGTGTGTGAGCGCATTTAAACTTCCTAGATATTTGCCAGCAAAAATGATATTCAATACTTAAAAGAGAGAACTTGTTAGTGCTCGCAATGTTAACAGCGATTCAAAGTCTGTAAAGTGTTACGCTGCGATTATGGACTTTGCGTCATCCTATTAATTCAACCGAGTTCTTTATTTTCTTTGAGCTGGCAATGTTCGAGAGTCAATGAGGCGAGGAATGACAAATGTTCTCACTTCAGCTCTTAGGACTTCAAAAAGGCTCAACGTCCTCTCAATCCTTCAAAGAAAAGGAAAACGGCAAAGAAAACATGTTTGACTTTGGGCAGCGCACGAAACAGGAAAAGGTGTTTCCGCTCCTGTGAACCGGAGCGACCCGCCACTTCCTCCCAGTGGAGTGTCCAGGAGTGGTAGGTGAGTGTGTGTGTGTGTGTGCTGTTGTTTTAAAAAGAGGGGACTCGAAGGCAGCGGACACAACACACTCCAACCTGGAGCCTGAAGTGTCACACACTTCTGCGCAGTGTGAAAGGCGTTAAATACGACCTGACGGAGTTATGAGCTCAGCCCTGTGTAAACAAAGGGAAAATAGGAAGGAAACAATCATACTACGACCGTCTCAAAAAACACAAAACGGAGGAGAGAGAGAGGGGAGCAAGAGCGCCTCAAACATTCTGCCAGACATCATTCCCTCCAATGTCCCGCTCTCTCATAACTATATGCCCACAGGGTGGGATTTACCCTGCTGAAACACAATTAGGAATGTTCCACTGGGCCTGCGTGATCCTTCCTATACCCTCCCGTCTTCACCCCTCTCTGCTCTTTCCTCCTTTCTTGCCCCCTCCTCCGCTTTCTTTCTTCTGGCCAGTTCTCTCTGACAGCAGACATTCCCTGGGGGGGTTTTCTCAAGGGTCTGGGGGAGTGGAGGAGGGGTTTTCTGGGCTCACTTCCCAGCTCCAGTCTTAGTTCTGCCCAGCTGCAGCCTCAGCACAGATCCACAGAGCGAGAGAGTGCGTGAGAACGATGGCAATACGCATCAAAACACACAAGACAGCGAGTTCCACGGTGTCATTATGAATCGCCATCGCATGCAACCGTTATATTAGCTAGAGGGCGATACCCATTACAGACATATAGATAGAACATTTTAGTGGTTTGATGGTATGGCGTAAGACGTAAGCGTGAGATTAGCACCGTTAATAACTTAGATTAGCATGCATGACAGAGGGGCTAAGCCAGACCTGTAAATCCAGCCCTAACACACTGGATCTGTCTGGAACACGCTAACAATGTGAAGGCATATCACGCTACTATATCTAAACTGGTGGTCTGTGGTGCTGGCGCCTGCTTTTTGTCCACCGTCTAGACCCCGTGTTATCCCTGCTACTACACGCTTACTGGTTTACCCAGCATTCAACCTGTTCCTCCTCATAACTAACAGCTGATTCCTGGGCTGATGGAGTATTCTCATGGGACTGGGATTGCATCGTGTTGCTACAACTTGACTTGGATCACGATCATGCAAAATCATTTTCATTAATATAAAAAAACAAAAAAAACACCGCAATATTCCAACTGACGTTTCTATTTCTTTGAACTGAAGGATTCACTGTAGTGTTTTTCCACCTGTCTCCTTCAACAAGTCATGTTTCCCATTGGGGTAAATCAGAGCCAGCAAAAACAAGAACATTTTCCATTTTTAATTACAAGTAGGAGATGATGTAACCAGCTTTCCCCAGGATTCATCTATGCAAAATCCAACCTAAAACTCTCTCTTACAAAAACTGAAGACATAAGCTGTAGCCAGTTATTGATTGCAATACTTACAAACATTAACGTCAACTGTATTACCTCCTCAAAATTCGAGGATGCCTTTTAGTATCTCACCTCTTGAGGTGGAATCGCAGGTACTTGAGCACAGTGAGCCCAGGCAGGAAGGTGCAGCTCATGCAGGTGAGAAGCTGCCAGTAGCGGAGGTGTGCGGCAGTGTGCGGGGCAGGAGTGTAGCTGGTCTGCTTCACTAGCTGGCAGTAGACCTCGTCGCGGAGAGGCCGCAGGTCCAGGCAGGTCTGCAGCACGCCCTGGATGATGGGAACCGGCTCCCGTGCCGACTCCAGCTGCTGCAGGCAGTTGAAGAGCTTCACGGCCTCCTCACGCACCGAGCCGTAGCCTTTCCCACTGTGGTCTGGAGAGAAGAGAAGCAGTGCAACATTGTCTTATACTCTGATTGGATTTTTCTTTCCTTCATTTTTCCTTTTTTTAAATATTTTGTTGTGTCAACATTAAGTTGCAGCAAATGTTTAAGCTATAATATATTACATAATATAATATTGTATTACATAGTAGTAAATGTGGGTTTTTTATCTTTGTGTTTTGTGGTGTGCCCCTGTTTGCACTTGTTTTACTGAAACAGCCAAGCAGAAAGCAGAAAGGTCCTGCATTGCATTGTGCTAAAAGCTGCCTCTGGGCAACTCAAACAGAACAGTTATTAAACATATTTTCAAATGGCAATAAAAGCCTTGAACGGTAGTTACAGAAAAGGGTTGCTAACTGGATATACACACAGGCTTGAGTGGCCCGTTTCAGCTAGATAGCATAAATAACTGTTCATTTAGTCTTACAACAGCGTCAAGGAAGACTCAACCATCCCCTCTGAGATCTAAACCCACTTGAATTGCACTTATTTGCCCTTAAAAGTAAAAATAATTTAAAAAAAAATGAAGTACTGATATGTATCAATACTTCAATCATTTTTGACAACACTAGTGCAACTTCAGACATGCTAGCCATGATAATACCTGATGGGTATATGTTAGCTACTTACATGTGTGCTCCAGGCTGCCGTAAGGGAAGGGCAGCAGAGGAGCGTACAGGGGACACTGGGTGTACTTCAAGATGGGATTGTGCTGGTAGATGTGCTCCACTACCTCGGGGTTGAACTTATTCTCCTAAAGCACACAAGTAAAAAAAAAACAAAATGTGACGATAACATCAATAGACACAGTAAAAAAAACAAAACAAAAAAAAAAAACTTTCATCTGCACTCAATATGCCTGCAGCCAACCTGGAAGCAAGTCAGTGAGCGGGTGATTGAGCATGTGTGTGTGTGTCTGTCTGTCTGTCCGGGGTGACTGGGGTCGATTTGACCAGGGTCACAATTCAGCTCTGGCAACTTTCAAAGCAGCATGAATGTCAGGTGATGATCCAGCAAACCGCACCAGCACGACTGACACGTTATATTTTATCTGCTGGTGTCAATGAGTTCAGTGTGTGTGTTTGTGTCCTTCGTTGCCTATGTGGATAGATGCCTTCCAGCAGTACAGATGGCCTCCATGCTTACTGCCCTCGAGCACCTGTTGCTCATTAGTAACGTTGCCAATGCTCTGGATCTCTTATGTCTCTGCACACCCTCAAACCAGCCGCCCTTTCTCTCTGGCTACAAGACAAGCCTGCTTCCCCCCCCCCCCCCCTTCTTAGTGGGGTAAAGTTGACACATTCTTCTGAAGTGTTTGGTGCACAATAGTGACAGGCTTGTCTGTTTGAAATGTGAGAATGAGATGCTGCCCTGTAGATCTTGTGTAGCTGGATACAGCACAACATCACAGATGAAATACTTACACTGTACGTACATGTTTAGGCCCTTAGACCCTTTAGTCTTCTCCTGACACATGCAGTAGTTTGACAGTGAGGGATATTTACAACAGACATTTTAGGTAGGCTTATAATTTCACACTTTGTTTGTCCTTTGCCTCTTAAATATGGTGTGAGATTCACGACAGGGCAGTTCTTCTCCATTTCTCTCTCTTTCACACATGGCCTCAGGCTGAAGGTTTAAGGCTAACACTGCAATCCCTGCTCTCCCTTGTGTCTGTGGTTGGAACATGAATCTATATTTTAAAAAGATAAGAGAGCAGTCCTGTTCACACAAAGCCTCTCCTGTTCATTCTCTCTTTGATTTTCTTTTGCAGCAGTTCTAATCTCACACTCAAAGAGGGGAAATATACCTCGCCTTTTAGAGAAAGTGTGCCTTTGTGTCAAGGTGAGGGAGTAAGAACGCAACAGACTGAGAGACCGATGACGAGACTTCAGGTGGGGAAAAGCAAAACAATGAATGAGGTGCACTTTAAAAGCAGGCCCACCAAATTACCAACTTGGCCCCTTCCTGGCAAAGCACACAGGGGCAGACGGAGGCAAGCAGATTAACCACTTTCTTTGAGATTAGAGACTCTCGTTGGGAGATTACTGAGACAGGAGGCCAGGCAAAGGACCGCTTATCTGTCCCTTCTGCTTCACGCCAAGCCCTCCTCCAACCTCCTCATGTCAAAACTGCCCTCTCTTCTCCTCAGGGGCTACAAGTCCAGTCATCCGTGTGCTCAATAAGATTCCAGCATGCTGTGTTCTCTAGCAACCGCTGGTCTAAATGCACTTCACTCTCCTTCCATGTGAGAAGGTAAAGCAAAAAACGCATCCTTCTCAAATCCCACTAATCAAACTGTTCTGAGCACCCAAACAAGCGGAACTAACTTTATCTTGAAATGACCTCTCTCTGGTTCAGGTCTGTTCTTACATCCTGTCCCGGTGTGGTGGAATTAAGATGAGATCATTCAAAAGAGAAAAGGCAAGCAGGGGAAACTTTGGACTTCAGGGCTAATGAGGCCGTGTGGCTTCCATGGTGACAGAACAGAGGGAGAAGCAACAGCAACTGTATGTGTATGTTTTTTTTGTGTGTGTGTGTGTGTGTGTGTTGCGTGGCCCACCTCGACGTCTCGAATCAGGAGCTGTGTTGGTGTTTCCACTGGTGCTTTGGTATCAATGATCTTCTGGATGGCACATGCCCAGTGCACAGCCTCGTTGAAGTGCTTGGTGTACAGCCTGTAGCAGTGCTTCCGCCCATAAACTGTGATGCTCCAGTGGCCTGGAAGAAACGCGGATGCACACACACAAAAACAGAGACATTTTATATGATTGCCACTTGAAATTCAACCTTGCACTTCATCCGAAAATGTTAAGTAAATGGGGAAGAGAACAGTGAAATTGTGTCTGCATGGGACACCCCGGATATCTGGTGTGAATCCCTCTTCCCTCACTTCCTCTCTCGGTTTCATTGAGGACCAAAGGTCAGCCTGAGAGGAACCTCAGACCATGCCATCACCAAACAAAATCAGATATTCCATCGATGAGCGAGAACACAAGTGTCACACTCCTCAGTGATGCTCTTGTTGGACAAAAAGTGAAAAAGACGCACTTCCTCCTTGTGCAGAGGAAGTATTAGATGCAACCCTGGCAGCCCACGGCTGTTATCAGCCTTTCCTGCTACGTGACTTGGCACCACACGCATCTTTGTTTAAGTTCTTAATTTGAGGTACAAACCTCAAATTAAGAGGTTTGACAACTGAGATTATAATATGGTGATATTGCCATTACCAACTATGAACCTGTTTGGTGCGCTGAAACTAACTCGGTACAATTTCAATCATGCCAGAGATAGAACCCTTAAGGCACAAGTGTCAAACTCAAGGCCCGCGGGCCGAATCCCGCCCGCCACGTCATTTTATGTGGCCCGCGAATCCACCAGCTAAAAATTGGAAAAAAAAATTTAAGTTGGACTTGAAAATAAAAATATCCCCATGGTCGAAATTATGAGATAGAAAGTTGAAATTATGAGATAGCATGTTGTCTGTGTACCGACATGAAAACTATCACTGAGGTGGAAAGGAGAGGGAACAGACCGTAAAGCGGTTTTCCAACAAGTGATTGAGTTGAAAAAGATCGACAAATAATCCCAAAATGTCCACGAAGAGAAAAATTGATGCAGAGGGAAGAAGATGTAATTTAAGATGGGAAAGCGAATAAATGTCTGTGCTTCAGGGGGAAAAACGGGTCTGTCTTCTGTGTTATGATGCGTGTCGGTGATGAAAGATACAATTCACGTCGGCATTTTGACACCAAACACGGAGCTAAATTTAGCCTCCAAGAAAAACATAAAATTGTCCAAGAATTAAAAGGCATACTGCAATCACAGCAGAATATATTTACAAAAGCTACAGCCCAGTGCATGCTAAAGGTCTGTGAGCAGGTGTGCTCCGACCAGATACAGACTTTTACAAATGTCAGTTTGTGAAGAAACACCATCGCAGACCGAGTTCATGAACTAGCAGCAATCTAACAACACAGCTGGCTAAGAGACGAGATACATCATCTGTCAATGTTTGTAAGAGGCTCAAGGCAGACCTGACTGTCAGTGAGGAGCTCTTGGATGTAGCTGCCATGCACGGGACGACGGCAGGGAGGGACATTAGTGATGCAGAGAGGTGACAAAAATAGCTTTGAACAAAGTTAATGTAATAACTTGTGTTTGATGATATTTGTATTTGTTATTTTCTTTAAAAGTTTGATCTTTGATAGAGTAATGTGGGTTTCTTAAACCTAAATTAAAATGATTTATGTTATAATAACAGAAATGTGCTTAAATATCATTTTACATTTATATAACTGCATGTACAATATTTTTACACTTGAATAAACAATAATCAAAAGCAGAGACAGTTATTTAACAATATGTTAGGAGTAGTTACAGTTATACAGTCTTACAGTTACAACCGGCCCTTTGAGGGAAACCATGATGCTGATGTGGCCCGGAGTGAAAATGAGTTTGACAACCCTGCCTTAAGGGGAACTACTAATTTATGGTAAGAACCTGAAAATACACAGAGGAAGTAAATGCCTCATGCAACTTTCTCAGTAATTTAGGAGGAACATAAAGTTATTCCTAATCGTGCTTGTGACAAAACCACTATTGGGGACTTTTCTGGACTTCTGTCCAGAAAAGTCCCCTGGCATATTCAGTTAGTAAAAACTGTGTTTGGGTTTCGGTTCATACAATGGTTTTTACAGTTTAAGCGGTTTGGGGAAATCGGCATTGATGGGCAGGCAGACAAACGTAGAGAGAGGACAACGTGTTTGAGTAATACAGCTTTGAAAAAAGTCAAGTCATCCCTGTGTCTCTTCCCGCACAGAAAATCGTTTCCTCTATATTCTCTATGTCTCTTTCATCCCAGAAAGGGAAGGGGGAAGCCCCGGGGATTACTCAGATGTGAGGTTTCTAGACCAACCTTGAGCCACATCTTGGACCAAACACAGCTGGGGCTTCCCAAACTTACTCACAAATACAGCACTCATGGTTAAGGGAAAGGGAACCACATGAAGTCGCTTACATATAAAAGAAAAAAAACAAAAACCTGGACAATTTAAAGAAATGTCTATGATCACTACAACGCATTAACACAGGTCCTACTGGACTCTACAACCATACATGAGCGTGAGTCAGCTATGCATCAGCCCGACCTGAGTGCTCCTCACCTGTTTGCTTGTACGTCTGCTTGTCTGGCCAGATGACAGAGCAGAGGCTGGTGAGGACCAGCGTGCCCAGTCTGCGGGCTCCTTTCTCTGGTCCGCTGTAGTAGTCGAGGGAGTCCTGGCTCAGCGCAAACCAGTGCCGACGCTGCTTGATCCAGTTTCCTCGCACCTCTCGCAACAGCCACCCTATAAATAAGATACACACATGTATCATATTGACAAGTCAACTTCCACAATGAAATAACACAGTGGCATGTTTTTTGATCATTAGATTCATAGTTTGAGTAAATGTCAAAACCAAAATGTCAAACGTATGATGGTTTCAAATTCTTGCCATAGATTATAGTGAAATATTTTTGTGTTCTGGACTGTTAGATACAATACCTTATTTAGATATTTGAACCTTGGGCTCTAGACATTGGACATCGTGATGGCCGTTTTTCACTGTTTTATGATCTTTTGTAGAGAAAACAACTAATCGACAAAATAACTGGCAGATTAATCAACTAACTTGCAGCTCTATATGGCTGCATCACTTAAAATACTTTTTACCAAATGTTACTGTGAGAAATATAGTTAAATTAAGAATGTAAAGTAACAAAATAAAGCCAAAGTTACAGCAACTTATTGCATTTATTTCCACCTGCTTTGAGTGTCTTTTCCCATTTTCCCAGCAGTGACCGCAAAATGACTCACACAGAGAGAGCAACTTCAATCTCTGCTCAGGTAGACATTACTCCACTATATCTTCACATAGCAAATAGTCGTTTGCTTCCATAGTAATGCTCTGAATTTCAAATATAGCACCTTTAACCCATACTTCTGGCACGCCCTCTACTATGCCCTCAGACAAAGCCTTATGTACACATTAACTGCACACCAGGACAAGCATTTCCCTTGAAAGGTCTGGGTGGTAGGTGGGCTAGTCATGGAGCTGCTAAACCAGTACTGCCACACCATGTCTTCACTAAGAATAATCCCCAAGGCATGTAATTGGCCATAACGTTTTCAGCAGTCTGTATGAGAGTGCCTTGTTGGGGTAAATACTAGGGGATAAAAATACAGCCAGCTAATGGCATAGGCATTAAAGCCTGCATGCAGCCAACATAATTACCACTTTAGAGGTTGACAGAGTGAGAAAAGGAGAGAGAGAGAGGGAGAGAGAGAGAGAGAGAGAGAGAGATGTACTGGAACAGTGTGACAGAGAGAGAGAGACAAAGAGAGTAAACCAGACATGCCTTCAGCCAGCTCACAGGCATGCCCATTGGTCTTGCCAGGCCTGGCTCCAATATGCAAGACTGTTGTGTTCCCAAAGTCCTGAGGGTTTGGAAAGACTGCAACAGCCCAGATTCACTGCTCGACAGCAGTGAACTTCTTACCCCCCCCCCCTCAGCTATGTGTGCAAATCGTTCCTAATAAATATGTAATCTCTGAGCAGATAAATAAACTAGTTTGGAAGAGCTCTGTCCAGATGCTGTCCGGAGAGAAACAAGAGAGAGGAGGATTGAACTGGTACGGGGTCACAGTTCATCCAGAGGGCGAGGGGAGAGGCTGGCAGAGGGCATAAGCAGGCAGAGAGGGACTATCTGCAGGGGCAGGGCACTGCTATACACTGACAGTATGCCATTTGTTGGGTGGCTAAATGTGTGTTAATATAGTTCGTGGATGCATATTTGAGAAACAATTAGGCAATGTACATTCAGCTTCCTACCCTGTGAAAACGACAATTACGCCACTGCCAGCGTCACAGCTTCCTCTGTGTGGTTAGCAAGCTGTGCGCCACCTGTCAGACGGCGCTCACTTCGTCTGCTTCTTTCTTTCCTCTGCTCTCACTTACTTCTTATGTACTTTCATCTCCCCCATTTCTCTTCTCTTCCTGTTTTCATCCTTGCCTCAAATAGGTTTTCCCGGGCAGTGCAAATCCTCCATTGCCTCACTGCTACTCCAAAATAAAAAATAAAAGGCTCAGCCTCTCAGGCTACGTTTCCTGTTTAAGAATGCTTCTATATGATATAAGTGGAAAGTTTGAACCAACCCAATATAGCCTAAAGCAAAACCCCTGAAGGTATTTATCACCACATCAGAGGGGCAAAGCATCAAAACCCACCGTGAAAGGGATAAATAAAAACCATGAGGTAAGTTGGGCTGAGCTTGTTGACAGACTGGATGTATGACGGGGGAGGCAGACAAGCTGACTGGGGGAGAGACATGGAGAGACGGACATGCCTGCTACCTTGACGCCTCTGTCACAGACATGGGACGTCCAACAGATGCTGCTCTTTTTTGGAAACTTTAAACAGTGCGATAAGGAAAGCCAAAAAAAAAAAAAAGAAAGAGGGAGCGAGGAGCACAGTCCCCTGTACACCTCTCTCCCATGGTCTCCCATCTGGATCCCATCTCTGTGGCCGGCTAATGTCTCCCCTGCGGGCCACGGCTCACATTTAATTTGTTTCATTTGTGACCCCTGACCCCAAATGCCCTGCCCCCTCAAACACAGATTGTGCAAACAATCTCTTTACTGCAAACCTCCTGTCACACTCCGAGTACTGAATGCTTGTTCCATTCATTTTTATATGACATTCTAATGAAATATAAACATCGCAAAAATAAAAAGTCACCTCACTTCAAAGTTCAATTCTAAAATGTGAACAATGTGCAAAGCCACATGCATATATATGTATGCAGGCGTTTCACTGATGACTTATTTAGCAACATCAAAGTAACTATTTCACTTCAGGCAAACATGTTCCTCTTTAAACTCTAAACTTTCAGGTCAGCCCCTGAACCAAAACCCATAACTTTAGCTTGTTTTAAGGTTTTGTAAATACAGTTTAAAATCAGACAGAATTTCAGACAGTATGTACTGTACCTTTACCTTGTATGTACAGTATGTACCTTTACCTTGTATGTACAGTATGTACCTTTACCTTACCCTGTCAAAGTTTTTACATTAATAGTGGTGACAACCAAACATTATTATGTCTGCTAATGTTGTCAGCTGGATCTTTATAAAATGATATATTGGAATTTAACATTTGCCTTTAACATATTATGAATTATAAATTGGACCTGAACTTTCATTTGTTTTGTACAAGAAACTGTTGACTAAACTTTGCTTCCCCTTTTGGATCAGAGCATGAGAATCTCTGCCTCGTAAAACAAGCAGCTTATTTTAACTGTTGATCATCAAGGGTATGTCAATAAACCGTTGTCTTCTTAAGCATCTTTTCCTGGAAGCACTCCATGGCTTTTACAACTCATCCTACCATCATTGGTCCACATCTGCAATGTTTGTGGCCTATTTTAGATACTGGGTCCTATTAACCCCTATGTAGCCTCAGGATGTCCTGCTGAAAAAAAAGAAAACTTTAATGGAGGAACTGTTGAAAACGTATCCTTGTGCACAGAAAAGAGAGGGATTATCTAATGCCCTGAGATGTTGTGGTGGCTGTAATATTGTGGTCAGTTGAAGGCTGAATCCCAAGTGACACTGTAGTCAATGACCCATGGAAAATAGCTGTCCACTTCTTTTTGGAGGGAAACTATTCTCCTCAAAGAGTGAGACGGGGACAGAGAGGGGACAGCAGTGAGGGAGGGGCACTAGCCATGAGCGCATAGTAACTGCTGTCAGAATTAGGCAATCTGACTAACGCCATCCCAAACAGGACGTAACTTATCCAACTGCTGGCATTTTACTGCTGCCTTTCAGAAGCAGGCCAAGAAAAAAAAAAAGAATAAATTCACACAGAAATATCCTATGAGATCATTCCTCAAAAGCACCAGACAGACACCCAAGATGGCGCTCCTGATGCCAGTAGCATTCCCTTCATGAAGACACAGAGGGACGAGGGGAGAGTGGGAGCAGCTGTGCCACATGTGGTCGGAGAGGAGCCGTCTTCAGGGCGACAGCCCGGCACGTAGCAATAACAGTACTTATTAGGAGATTATTAGGGTAATGAAATATATACTATAATTAATGTACACAAACAGGCCCTGCAAGGACCTCATTTATTAACTGAGGGATAAGGTAATAGTCTTAAATGTTTAGTCTGTAAAGTGTATAAAGAATAGATATATATATAGATATATATATATCTATATATATATATATATAGATATATATAGCATTTAAGAAGCTGGCACCACTGAATGATTAGCATTTTTGCAAGAATAGTTAATTGCTAATCAAGATTTTCTGTCAATTGACTGATTAATCCACTTATTGTTTCAGCTGTATGTCTCCCCACAACTGAACATGGCAGGCAGATGTGTTCAGGCGATGGAAGACCAGAGTAATGGTGGTGTCAATGTGACTCACCTTTGACTAGCAGTTCAGGCTCTTCCTCCAGGCCCATCTTATTCTTCTCGATGATCAGACTCTTCATCTCTGCAGACACCCCTGAGACAGTGTGCCTGTGGAGAGGAGTAGAAAGAGAATGTAAATAACTCTGCTTCCCTCCCAACTAAAGTCTTCCCCTGACTACTCCCTCCCATTGGATAGCTAATTGGCTCGGAGACACACAGTTGGCTGTGAACCCCCCACCCCCCATGTGACACTGTGCCAACTACAAGCCTCTCTGATACTCTTAGGTGGGGGGGTCACACAGGGGGGACTGGAAGAAGTTCCATGAATATCTGTCCTCCAGCGTTCTCCCAGTTTCCCTCTCGAGCAGCACGCGAGCACACAAACACACACTGATGCATACCACGCCGCTGTGGACAGCTCGTCTCTCTTTTATCACTTTGGCCGCCGCGCAGAGAGAGCGACTGAAAATAAACGTGACAGAGCGACGCTGGCCTGACTCCCAGCCAGCCAGCTCTCACCGGTCAGAGGAAGGTTCAAGAGGTCACAGCCTTGGATAGTTAAAAACCAGAAACATCAAAAAGATCTGTAAATCTGTTGAACCGCTGTCCTTTCTTTCTCCGTTTAGTGCCTCACTAACATCTGCAGCTACCTCCATGTACAATGATGCTTCAACATCTGGTCAGGCAAGGCTGTGGACTGATTCAGACTCTTATCTCAGGCCAAGGCCCATGTAAAGTCTATTAGAGTGTTTGTAGGTTTTATCTCTCTTCCTTTATTTATCTGACTGCTCGTTAATTTTCTCCATTTCCTGCATCTAATTAGCATGTGAGGTACAAGTGACAAACCCCTCCTTCCTTCCTTCCTTCCTGTCCTGCTGAGATCATTGCTTAGGAAATGAATCAAGCCCTCCCTCCCAGGGACATTTCGCCTCCTGTTACCTACTCCTTCGCCAGCTGATTTACATCCTTATTGATCCGATAATTCCGGAAGGTTCCTCCTCACGGAAGCCAGCAATAATCAATGAGTCCAAATATAGCCTTATCTTTTTTTGGCTCTGCTGACATGACATGCAGAAGCCATTTCCTTTCACTGTGTGCGCTGACCTGATCCCGTCTATACTATGGTTTATCATGTTGACCTCTGTGACATTACACAGTGCTTATGCTTGAATGCATGCAATGTATTAAGTGTATTTGCTGTTGTAGATCCTAACCGATTGGCATCGGTTCCAAATTTAGGCCAATGTTCAGACACGGTGAAACTCGATATTGTGGGCCAGGTTTTCTGTATGTGAATGTGAACTGGTTCAGGGTGTCACATTATACTCAGTAAGGCAGTATAACTAAGCCGGCTCGCCTGCAGCAGCAGCAGCCTATGGGGACCTCCGACCCTGCATCAACACACCCCACTAATAGGCATTCAAATAAACACAGATATGTGACGACGTCTCTTATTTGAGATTGTTAAAAAAAAAACCTGCTACATAACGGAGATGTACACGCAGAGAAAATCTAAACGTAGCCGAAATGAGAGAGGAACTTGATCTATAGAAAAACTATGCCTCGAGTGGAGAATATAGCCTGCTGTGCAGGTGTTTATGTTCCTTGGATTATTGCTATTGTCTGGGATGGGCTTGCATCCAAAATGTCAAGAGTAATAAAAAAAACAATCATTTTAGCAATGAAGCATACACTAATAGCACACGGCTTTTTTTGATTTAGAAAAGTTTAAACCAGCAGTCTTACAGAAAATAAAGAGGTGACTTCCAAATTTACAGTTTATTGAAGAGGTCATGTGGTACACATGGCTATGCATCCTGGGGGAATATTCTTTGAGAAATGAAACTTGGCTCTCATGTGTGCAGATTTCTAAGAATTATAGGCTTTTGCCATTCCCCTGAACAGACCTTAACTAGCCTGCCCCCAGCTTCAGTGCTTCTTTTAGGCCACGTACAGAAGGAGGAGGGAATGAAATACAGATTTTGACCTTTAGCAGCATGAACTAGCCTGACCTTCAATACAATGCTGCCTGAGCAGAGCCAGTTTGATCATTGTGCTCAGAACCAGCCTAATGTTGATGTGGGGGCCTTTGGATCTCCACAGCTGTCCAGCAGCCCTAAAACATCCACCTCCACTCAGCAGCCCCCCCCCACCCACCAGCCTCCCATGCTACCGCCCCCACATTCCCAGAAGCCCCAGCAAAGGCCGTGACGGTGGGGCCTTTAGTGGGCAACTTCCTGTGGAGTGCAGGAAACAATTTGACATGGGGATTAGACAGCACGGAGAATAGAGCTCTCTCAGAGAGAGGAAGAAACAGAGAGAGAGGGATAAGTCATGAAAAGAAGAGCCAGAAAAGAAGAAAGGAATATTTCCAAAAAGTAAAACCAAATAAAAGTGACTCGTACATTTACATCCTGTGCAGTTGTGCAAGCGTAAATGTCCTACAGCCGCTTTATAGAAGTGAGAGACTGTATGGTGCAAAGCAAATGAGGCCCTTTTTTATTGTCTGATATGTGGCGGAAGAGCCATCATCAATGGCCCACTGTTGTATACAGTAGCTTCAGGTATTGCTGGAATAAGTTCCTCTTTTCTCTTTTGCAAACCTTAATCACTCATTGTCAAGCATGCTGCATGTTGATAGTAGGTACAACATTGTCATGCTATCCCAATAAAACTATTAAGTAATATTGATCTGCCAAAGTGACTAATAAAATACATGAGGTCACCAAATCCCAAGTACTTAAAAGAGTGATAAAGGTGTACGTTGTCCCGCCCTAACAGGTGCGACAAAATCAACAGTAGAATAGTGGAGAAGTCAGTCAAATACAGTCTGTACACGCCCACACAGTCCTAACAAGAGCTACAACAGGTATAAGCACCAGTGCGGCTGTCAAGTTAGGCAGTAAGCTTTGTTTAATTGTTGAAAGCAGAATTTTCAATTATCAAAAATATCTTAGTGCTCTGCTCGCTTATGCTATGTTTGTTGAAATACAATTGCAAAACTGTTCACACCAGCCTAAGTACGTAATTCCAAATCGGAGATATCCGACATGAACAATATCTCCCCCTTGTTGATAAGAACTATAGTACTGTAAACAAACCGTTGGCAAAATGTCTGCTAAGCCTTCATAGCAGACAGTTACAATAACACTAATACAACTGATTCAACTAGGGCGGCAACTCCCTTGCAACTCTTTCAGAAAATAGTGAAAAATGCCAGCTTGGATTTCCCTTAGCTTTGTTTTGTGTGACCAACAGTCCAACGCCCAAAGATATTCAGTTAGAATCTTCACATTTAAGAAAGTGGAAGAAGCAAATGCACAAAAGCAGCTAATGCTAACAATGGGGTAACCATATGTAAACACACAATGGGATGTTTTCCTGTTCTTCCCATTCTTATGACATTGAATGCAGCATTTTTAAGCTACAGACTCAAAATTAACAGCATCTGGACTGTTCCTACTGTACATATTGTAATCAGGTCATCGCAGCTGATGAGCATATTGTCTGCATCCCTTTCATGGTGACAATGGTGGTGACACACTTAAATCCACCCCAAGTGTGAGCAGCACAACGAGTTGATTAGTTTGCGAGCGAGTGCCTGTCCGATGGTGGATGCTGGAGCGATGAGTAATTGATTTCAGTCTGGGGTCTAATCAAAATGCCGAGACGCTAATTAAAGTCAGAGAAGTTGTGTCCTTGCTCTCGGGCTTGGATGACCGCAGTGGAAAACAGTGGAGACATGTTCCGGCACACAAAGTGGGTCCTTGTGACCACAAGAACACGCACAGTTGCAAAAGTGACCCTTGTGTGTGGACGTGTCACTGAAATACTTTGAGATTTATGTGATGGATGAAATGTTTTGGTCCAAAAGGCATTCGAAACAAATGACGTCAAACCTCAACAGGGATTGATGAGCCTGGACAGCAAACCCTGTTGATGTCCAGGCTCATAATAACTGTGCACAAATGACATATATCAACGCAGTTTATTAGACGTCCGAAAAAAAGCACTGAGGATAAATAACACTATATGAGACGACCTTCATAAAAATACAGTGGGTCATACTGTATCACTAAATAACCAGTTCCTCTTTGAAATCTATTCCTCTTAAGTCTTGATCCCCCCCCACCCCACCCCACCCCCACATTCAATGGGCCTCTGGCTGAAGCTGGGCTGGTGGGAAAATGGGAATGTGGGTGATTAAGACTGGGCCTATATGACCTCCCAGCTAAAAATACGCTGTTTACTCAAGACCACTGCCAAGAAACTCTGGACTAGGCAGAGGGGAGAGGGAAGAAAAGTAATGTTTTGAAAAAAGGAGGAGGGGGGGGCGTGTCTGTGACAGGAAGTCTGAGTTTGTGACTGAAGGAGAGAGTGTTGATCAGCAAGACATTTTATGATTGAGAGTAAGTGACTTCTTAGCATGAAGTCACTCTGATGGTGTGACTTGGTGAATTCAAACTTTCTATATTTGCTATAGTGTTGTAAACACGGCCAGTTTGTGATGACTGGATGGTGGACAGACAGGCCGATAGACACTCAGACAGGCCAGTACCAGGGGCCCACTACCAAGCTTTTCATGCAAACATCCACATGGTTCGTGCATGCTCACACTCTCTCTCTCGCACACACACATAAATTCACACACGTGAAATATATTCTGAAACATTGGTCTCTTTCAAACATTGCAGCCTGGTAGCAACACCAAAAAAAAAAAAAAAAAAGCCCGTATAAAAATGTCAAAGCAGACGGGGGGCTAATGTGAAAGAGGACTGAGCAAATGGTGAGACAGGGAGATGGAGAAGTTCTCAAGTGTTGGCGTTCCTTCTGGTACAGTTAGTGCTCTGTTCTTTGCCCCGGCAGCTACGACATGAGAAGGAACTTAAGAGTCAGGAAAGCTTGTCAGGGATTGAAAAAAAAGCGATGATGTAAGACAGATTTGAGTGTGAGCACAGCAGGAGGGAGCATGCTGCTTGGGACTTTGTGCTGACTGAGAGACAGACTGAGACCATGTGCCCCCCGCCTGCAGAGATACAGTGGGTACGGAAAGTATTCAGACCCCTTTAAATTGTTCACTCTTTGTTTCATTGCAGCCATTTGCTAAAATCAAAAAAGTTCATTTTATTTCTCATTAATGTACACTCAGCACCCCATCTTGACAGAAAAAAACAGAAATGTAGAAATTTTTGCAAATTTATTAAAAAAGAAAAACTGAAATATCACATGGTCATAAGTATTCAGACCCTTTGCTGTGACACTCATATTTAACTCACATGCTGTCCATTTCTTCTGATCCTCCTTGAGATGGTTCTACTCCTTCATTGGAGTCCAGCTGTGTTTAATTAAACTGATTGGACTTGATTAGGAAAGGCACACACCTGTCTATATAAGACCTTACAGCTCACAGTGCATGTCAGAGCAAATGAGAATCATGAGGTCGAAGGAACTGCCCAAGGAGCTCAGAGACAGAATTGTGGCAAGGCACAGATCTGGCCAAGTTTACAAAAGAATTTCTGCAGCACTCAAGGTTCCTAAGAGCACAGTGGCCTCCATAATCCTTAAATGGAAGAAGTTTGGGACGACCAGAACTCTTCCTAGACCTGGCTGTCCAGCCAAACTGAGCAATCGTGGAAGAAGAGCCTTGGTGAGAGAGGTAAAGAAGAACCCAAAGATCACTGTGGCTGAGCTCCAGAGATGCAGTAGGGAGATGGGAGACAGTTCCACAAAGTCAACTATCACTGCAGCCCTCCACCAGTCGGGGCTTTATGGTAGAGTGGCCCGACGGAAGCCTCTCCTCAGTGCAAGACATATGAAAGCCCGCATAGAGTTTGCCAAAAAACACAGGAAGGACTCCCAGACTATGAGAAATAAGATTCTCTGGTCTGACGAGACCAAGATTGAACTTTTTGGCGTTAATTCTAAGCGGTATGTGTGGAGAAAACCAGGCACTGCTCATCACCTGCCCAATACAATCTCAACAGTGAAACATGGTGGTGGCAGCATCATGCTATGGGGGTGTTTTTCAGCTGCAGGGACAGGACGACTGGTTGCAATTGAAGGAAAGATGAATGCGGCCAAGTACAGAGATATCCTGGAACAAAAACCTCTTCCAGAGTGCTCTGGACCTCAGACTGGGCCGAAGGTTCACCTTCCAACAAGACAATGACCCTAAGCACACAGCTAAAATAACAAAGGAGTGGCTTCGGAACAACTCTGTGACCATTCTTGACTGGCCCAGCCAGAGCCCTGACCTAAACCCAATTGAGCATCTCTGGAGAGACCTGAAAATGGCTGTCCACCAACGTTCACCATCCAACCTGACGGAACTGGAGAGGATCTGCAAGGAAGAATGGCAGAGGATCCCCAAATCCAGGTGTGAAAAACTTGTTGCATCATTCCCAAGAAGGCTCATGGCTGTACTAGCTCAAAAGGGTGCTTCTACTCAATACTGAGCAAAGGGTCTGAATACTTATGACCATGTGATATTTCAGTTTTTCTTTTTTAATACATTTGCAAAAATTTCTACATTTCTGTTTTTTCTGTCAAGATGGGGTGCTGAGTGTACATTAATGAGAAATAAAATGAACTTTTTTGATTTTAGCAAATGGCTGCAATGAAACAAAGAGTGAAAAATTTAAAGGGGTCACACCCTCCGTAAGCTGCCTGCGACTGGTCAGAGCAAACACACAACATATCTATTACTCCTAACATAGGCCAAACTAATATTATCATTTGAAAACCGGGTTTTCCAACCTTTCCAGATCTGTGTCTACAGTAAGGCTTGGTAATCTTTTTCAAAAACATTTTTTCTTATATTTGTTGAAATTCTCTTTTACAACCCGACAACGATCAAAAATTCAAATGCCCTGACAAAAAAAAAAAATATATATATATATCTGATCCCGTCCAATCATTTAATTTGGCTCATTTCAAACTTCACGTTGCAGTTTCTGGATTCACAAATGACAGAATGCATACCTGCAGAACCATGTCAGGTTAGTTATTAAAGCCAAGTCCAATCTCTCGAAGCTAATGGAGTCCATCGTCAGTTATCACAATAATAAAAGTATATCTTGTAAAAGCACATATTTAAAAAGAAAAATGGACAAAACTTTCCACCTTGTTACTGAAAATGTACACTGGCATGCTCTGTGTCACTTTTCTTTTTTAATGACATCAATATGTTTTGATAGCATGCGTCTATGTGTAATAACTCTTATTTTATGAGGACAAATAATGAATAGAGTTGCCTGTGCATGTGCCCTGTAGCTATGTTTGTGTTATACAAATCCTCTTAGAAGCCTAAAAATGCATAACACAGACAAATTATGGTAAGGTTCAAAATTGAACGTGACACAATGTGAGCATACATGTATACAAAATACATTGTTGATACTCAATTATAACTAGGTATTCTGGGTGAGCCCTGAAATGCCTCACACTCGCATGCGTCTGTAACCGACCACTCAGAAGCTGGCCCATCTCCTATCCCTAACCACATCATGCTGGCAGCACGATGAATTCTCCAAGCATTACCATATTAACCTCAGTCTAGTATAGGACAAACATAAATCCCTCCAATTCATCACAATCACAGCTGGGCCGTTATTCAAACTAATAGTTGAGCTGCCCTGTCTGTTACATGAGACTATAGATGAAAGGATAATGGAACCATTTGCTACGTCACAATGCCCGACTTGTAAGAGCTTGGCTTTCCCTCCGTGCAGCTGAACTTCTGGGCGTGTCCAGTCATCGGCCAGGTAATGACCACGCATTACACTCTTTAATCTCTGCACTCAGTGTGATAATTACAGCCAGGCGTTTAACACACTCCCTTCAAAACCAGTAGTTAATTAGGCCATGTGGCCCGGGGCCACCTCCACTATAATGTAGAGGTGACACACATCCGAGTCACACCTCTTCTAGGAGTGGTGCTAAGGTAGGACTCAGTTGCCCTGTTCGTAAGCCTGCCTCCCTTCTTCCCTTCCTTCTTTCCCTCAAGCCTCGAGAGACAGCTACTCCTGTTCTGTAAAACAGCGACAAAACGTCACATCTTCTGCTCCCTTGCCCACGTCCTGATGCAGCTCTTCTCTTGCTGAGTATTGTTGCAGACCCTTGTCTATTCATATTTGGTGTGTGTGAGACAGTCTCACAAGTCGAGCTTTGTGACTCATTGCCTGTGAGTCGGCAGATGTACAGGAGAGATTGCAGATGAGGGAAGTGTGTGTGGGGGGGGGGGGGGGGGGGGGGGGGGGGGGCGATAAGGGCATGATGCCAGCGACAGAGTGGAGCAGAGCCTGGCTACATCACTGTCTGAGATCACGACCCTTCACTAATAGTCTGGATCTAGCCCTCCATGAATTACTCCCTTCATTGGCACTAGCATCCACTTGTCAACCACATGACCATTTGAATTTCATTATTGACGAGACGCATGGTGGTTCCTTGTAACAAGCAGTTCGAGTATACAGACTTCTAACTAACAAAGTGAGTGAATTTGTGAATTTGATGTGAATCTGGAAGCCGGACAGAGTTAACCTATAATTGATCACAACGTTCTAGGTTGAAGATCGACATACGATTGGCCAATGTGGCCCGCAAGCAGCCGAGTCAACCTTTGAATGGCAAATCAAACAGTCAAGAGGTTAACGAGTGAAGACCGACAGCGGCATAATCCATAAGCAATCAAAGCACCACTGCGGCTGGGAAACGTCATCCGAGCAAGCTCAAAATGACAATATATAATGTCAATATACATGCGAGTCTGCAAACGCTTGTATTGTGTGCACACACGCGAGCTTGGCGGTGGATTTGTGGTGAGGCACATGTGGCATGAGGAGAGCCCCGTGAGAGGAAACACACAGTGCAGATGAAGTGAAAAATCAAGTGATTAGCCTGTACTTACACATGTGCCTGCCAGGTGATACAGAACTCCCCGGCACTCAGAGGAAGTATACGAGCAAAATGAGGAACCATTACTTCCTAAAATTCAGGTTAAAAAAAATCAGTTTCTTTTTCTCCTTACCCGTTTGTTCCATTGGCTGTGAGAGTTGGTTGAGAAACAGTCACTTCAGCTGGACTCTGTCAACAGAAGAGAGAGAGAATAGGGTAAATACACGATAATGCAACACGAACAGCATGTCTGTCCTTAGAGCTAGTCAACAGGTTGGAGTGATCCCTCAATAGTTTGCCTTCAGGGGCCATGCTACAGTAGAGCGTGCAGCCGTTCCTGGCAGTCTCAGCACATAGCTGCTCTGTTCCTGCAATGCTTGGCTTTCACTTGCAAGGGGTGAGCTGGTGGGGAGAATTATGGCATTCAAAAACAGGCTCATTTAATGGAGGAGTGGGGAACAGAGGAATCATTTGTGTAATAACCCCGACCAGCAAATCCCAAAAGGCTTTTTATTCAGTCAAGTCATTCCTCTGAGAAGGTTGTGAACCTAAAAATAACCCTAGTCTTTGAGATTGCACTCCGAACAGGAACTGTTGCCTTCATCTTTTCTATCCACGTAAACAAGCAGGAAAGAAAAACAGCCCCTGGATTGTATAAAAACAGCACTTTGCGGGGTAAAAATGATGGTGTATTAATGTTAATTATCTGATGAACACAGCCACACGTCTGAAACATATTACGAGACTTGATCTCGACTGTAAGCCAGCTGCTCGTATCAAATCGCATTCCCTCTTTCTTGGGCGTCAGATTTGTAAGGAAACTGGGTTTAGCGCTTCTGCAGACTACAAATGGGGGCTGTCACTGGCAGACATGTAAAAATCTAATTTCATGCCGTGGAACAATTGACTTTTCATTCAAAGGCTCCCCTGTTAGGCAGAGGACAGGAAAGGGTGTTTCGCGGCGCTCAGGCCCCTGGATTCCCAAACCTGACCTTGGAAAACACCATCAAACATCAGAGCTTGCTGTGTGCAATTTGGACAGAATCCCTGGTGTGCAGGGCAGCACTGTGTGTCCTGACTTGTTGTCTCTGTGAGCCACAGCCTTGAGCCAGCTCCTGTGTCTGCCCCAGCCCAGCACAGGGGTGTTGGCCTATACCTGAAACTCTATCCAGGTCAGCTCTGGGCCCCTTACAGTTCACACACACCACACTTTACTACTGGGCAAACCAGCCTAAGTATAGCCCTTGCCCTGCAGACAAAGTCCACTGCTTCTTTTCGGATTGCTCACAAATATCAAAGAAAACATGAACTGCAAATGTAAAGGCTAGTATGGAGTCTGTGTTGTATTTATAAGGCAGATGGAATGAGATTTGACTAATGTTTAACTTAGGGTGAGGTAGTCTACTGTAAATGTCAAACCAGGCAGGCAAGAATAACTGAAGAGCGTCAGAAAGCGCCTTGTGAATGGAAGAGAGTGTTCATGGTAACGCTCCCTTAACCATAAACGATTTAACCAAGCCTACAGCCCCAGAGAAGAACATTCAGACAAGCAGCCATGACTGAAAACTACAAATCAATAATAATCACATCGACGACTGCAACGTGGTATATAAACTAATCAGAGGATCAATAAACTAATGGGTCAGAGAGATCAAGTTAGAATATTTCGAATAAGTCTCCACAAAACGTGCCGATTTAAAGAAAAATAGCTTTCCAATGGAGTTAATGGGCTGTGGAACGAGGATAGCGTGTGATGCAGAGCCCTGGCAAAAGCTTTCCCTTTGGACGGGAAGGGGATGAATCACTCCAGACTAGAGCAGAGCATGGAGGGAAAGAGGGAAAGATGCCGTGATGTGTTTGTTCCGAGGCAGACTTCCGCTCTCGCTCGCCCCCACCCCCATCTACTCTCTCTCTCTCCCTCTCTCTCTCCCCCTTCAGCTCTCCTGAGAGGCTGAGTAACCGGGAGGAAATGCTTGGGCTCAGCCAGTGTCGGCCTGAAGACCAGATGTGTGGCCTGGAGGTGGTGAGGCAGAGACGCAAACGGAAACCAAATATAACCCAGCGTACCGTGACACCTCTGAAGACAGAGGGCAGTAGCGGCGTTTAACAGGACCCGCTCCAAAAAGGCCGGACTGTGCCCATTTGTTCCAAGAAACAGGATGCAGTGCAGCACTCATGCCCACACTTACAGCTGTGCAGGCCTCAACACTCAGGCGGTGGTCGTTTATTGGTTAACGTGACTTAACGTTGGATGAGAACTGAATAAAGTTTCAGTGGAAACATGGAAAGAAGAGAGAATGACGGACGTCCTGTCCTAAAATGAGTTCCTTGCTGTCCCAACACTGGAGGCATTCAGATCAGTTTGACTGTTTGGGCAGCTGTTAGAGAGCAGTTTCTTTGAATGAGGACTGTAAACACGCAGTGAAATGGTTCTGACACGGCCCTGTGCTCTTGAGGGCCAAGCCTACACAAACGTCAGCACTGACTCATGGTTCCAACCTCAGTGAGAAAGAGTCCTGGCAAAGAACAAGGTGTCATCTATGGCTTGGGTGCTGTGGATGCTACGCATCGTGGCATTCTCTGGCATTCTCTGGCATTCTCTGGCAGCTTGTTGGAAAACAACGCAGGAGATGGTGGTAAAAGGTTTTGGATGTCTTGAGTGAGGGAGACTCCACCAGACCTGTGGGTTACTGTGGTCAACCCTGGCAGGAGCTGGAAAGAGGTCTACTAAATGGGGTATTTCAATGTTATGAAGCCCAAAAGACACACACACACACACACACACACACACACACACACACACACACACACACACACACCCAGGGCGGTCTGACCTGCTCTCTGAAAGTTTGGCTTCAGAAATGAAGCTCTCTGGTTAAACGATGGGACGTAGCCTTGAGGGGCTTTCCCTGGGACTCATTGTAGACCAACTTCAACCCTACGCCCCACCTCCTCCGTTGCCACCATGGAAAGCCAAACAGTATCAGTTGGATACGTATATATTTTGAGGGGCGGGGCTGTGAGGTGTGTAACAAATTGAGTTGTGTTAAGAGCTGATATTGGCTTTGCTTAGAATGGTTCAGCTGTGGTTTTAATTATTGGCTCAGCGTGAACTATTGACATATAATTACAACACCCAGCATGACACAGTGACACAGATCACAAGGAAACAGTATTCGAGGAAGTGGATTGATTGCCTGTACGCATCAGGGAATGAATAATCAATAACTTAAGAACACCTGGGTGGACTTAAAACACACATAAAAGACTTGGTGATCCAAAAGTGCAGTTTACTTTGGTTACTAGGCAAACAATAAATCAATAAAGTGGATCATTGAGAAGTAATCTGATAAACTGAACGGGGCTAACCTCGTGATAGATTACTAACAGACTGTTCCTCAAAGGGAAATACATCAATCACATTAACACAGGCAGACTATTATTTTATAGCTTTTTAATTCAATTTCATATTTATGAATATTTACGAGCAATCGTATCAATAGAACCAACACTAATCAGTGATGCAACACCACTGTGGGCCAGAGCCGCTCTAAAGACAGAGAAGCCTTATGAGCTTCACACGAGTCAGTTTTACACCGTCATACATAAGCAACGCCAACAATGACAGAGAAAGAAATTAAACCAGTCCAGAAATTTTGACCTGGCCTCAGGAATAACCGTTAAAATGCAGCAGCATCGTATGGGACTCATCTTCTAGAGATGCTAAAGGCGGGCCAGAACGCCATCCCTCAATCAACCTCAGAATCTCTTAGTTCAATAAACCAATGTTAAACCCAAGCCACCTAGAGGAGCATGATGCTTGCAGATGGAGCAAAAGTGGAATTTTTAATCCGGGATCAGGTATCCAGCAAAGTTACAGGAAAGGGAGATCTCTGCGTCTCACTTTAAAAAGGCCATCAGGCATCTCCACATGTTACTATGATCTCATATTGATCGGGAATACGGAGCGCAGTTTGGTTCCTTTGACCGCCAGTTGCCAGGCAGATGGTACAATTACGACCAAGACGGGGATGTTTGCCAAGAAGAAGAGTGCTACACACCATCACCTCTCTGGATACACCTGAGCAACATATATTTCTCTTATCTGGCAGGTGCTGGTATACGGTTAGATTTCTGTTGAGGCAATAACTGCGTAAAATGGATCTGTTCCCAAAGTTTTCATGCAAATCTCTGCGGTGTCAAACTTTGGTTGGTTGCAAGCAGACAAAGGGGGCCAGTGAAGAGATAAGCAGGCTGTGCAAGTTATGGCCCCAGCTGCTATTACTTTCATCTACAAGGCCTTGCTTTCAGTGCAGACTACCTATAGACCCATGACAGCATGTAACACATAATGCAAATTAAAACGCCAACATTCTGTTTATAAAGAGCGAGTCTTATGTGAGGAAAAGCACACAGCTCCAATAAATATTTAAAGGGTGGATTTTTTCAAAGAGACTGTACATAAAGTTCTGTACATTGGGTCAGGTCATACAGATAGAGCCTACCTCAATTGAAGGCAACAATGCCCCCTCACAAGTGGGTGGACAATGCTGAACTCTCTGTGCCTGATCAGATGACTAACATTACAGAGAAGACAAGGCCGCAGTCTTATTTGCGATTGAGCAGACGGAGGCCAAACAGACAGGATCACTTCAACACACTGGTTTTTTTTTTACAGCTTGCATCAGTGTGTGTGCGTGTGAGTGTGTGATTGCTCAATGTTGCCCAAGCCTCCAAGACTGTGCAAACCTAAACGTCAAGCTGGCCAGCAGCAGCAGCACATTTCTCTATCGTGCATCAGTAATAAAGGCTAGTATTTAACACGTTTATAACTCCCACAAACACACTTAACAGCTAACATGTGAGCACTGTAGCTTGCAACTTCAAAATATTGGCAGAAAAAAAAAGTTTACATTTCTTGTAATACCTTTAACCAAAAGTTATCATTCATATTAAGAAGTGAAACCATATCCGTTTGCACAAAACTGAAATTATGCTCCTGAAGCTGAGCCCGCTTTAGAAAAAGTGCAAGTTGTACAGGGCAGTTTTACAGCCAGTATTTATCATTCAATACAACTATGCTATGAACTGTGTCGCTAAAGTATTCATGCACAGGAGTTGTAGTCTAGTGCAGGTGGAGATTTTTATTTTTTTTTCTTTACCCGTCCATTGGGAGTCACGTCCTCCTTGTTGCGCAATTCAAAAGACTCTTCCTCCTCTTTCTCCCCATAGTCTCGTCCGAGCAAACTGAAGCCCTGCCTGCAGCACAGAAACCAGCAAAATCCTTGCAAAGGCATTCAAATGAGGTTAAGTGTGTCGTCTTCTGCTATCCAGGTCGGTGAATTCAACATTCACCGTGCTGTCTCGGCCGCAAGTAACTCCAAGAGCCGCGTGAGAGCATACAGGACAGCCTCTCCATAGATATCCAGCGAGGAGGATGAAGGGTAGCATAAGCTGACTCTCTCCTGTCTGTCAGAGATAGTCTAGGAACTGTACATGACAGCAGTCTTACTCCAGCAAAAACCAACAGAGAACCGGTTCAAGGAAAATCCACCCCAGGACTCCCTCGCTCAGGACACCTTTGCTGTCCCTGTTTGAACAACTTCACACGGCCAAAGTACACCGAAAACAAATGTAGTTTCCAAAACTGCCACTATGGGTTGAAAATGCATCAAGTTGAAGGCGCCTGACAAACGCGCCGATGCTGATGTAAGCGTTTTATGAATGGATATGGTGAGAAACGTATAAAACGCGTACCTCTGCAAAGGACTGACTTGTCTGACTTCTGAGCTTGAACAAAAGCGTGCTGCAGCTGGGACAGGACAGTGTGGGAGGAGAGACCACGCCCCCCCCCGGCCTCACGTTTAAACTGTGATTGGCTAAGCACAGACACTCCTCGGAATGACACGCCCCTGACACACGCCCCTCCACACTGACAAAGCGTCACATGTCCTGTATTACAGTAGACGTTAGTAATCATATCACCCGGAACACCTGATATTCACAGACACGACTGTTTGCTCATTAGTAAGGATATTTTTTTAACCACTGCTGTAGTATTCACACAGGGAGTTATTTTAATTAATTTATACAATAAAAATGAAGACTAAAAAAAATCACTTTATTGCACTTCATAGTGAAGTATTATTAATTAAGTATTAACATTATGGAGAAGCATTTATATCATTTATTCAAGTAAAAGTAGCAATACTACACTTGATTACAAGTAAAACCTGCATTCAAAATGATGTTTCACTCAGAAGCTTGTAAATATGAAGTAGTATTTTTATGCAGAATGTTACCCGTCAGTGTTATTTCATTATTGTGCTATTGGATCAGTGCTTCAACGCAGTAGCTGGTTACTTTACTTGTTGATCACATGTGTATTTGTTAATTGTGTATTACAGTACTTGAGTAATGTATTTAGTTACTTTCCACCACTACATCAAATATTCCCTTTTACTGTCAGATATTTGACATGGTAGATTTGTAAAGTGTTACAGCCTACTATACTTTGCTTATACTTACTCTAAATCAATCTACATCAGTAGTGAGTGAACCGTACGGCATGACTGACTGACTTTAAAACAAACTTTATTTGAAGGGGAGATCAGATATGACCGTGTCACAATATCACTAATTAACTCCAGTATTTTGGTTACAGCTCTTTCATGCTCCCTCTTTATTTTTTCTGCATATCTTACTCTTTCTCGTACTTTACTTTTTCTTTCAAATACACACACACATGCATGCACACACTCCTCCCCCACTCATTCCTCTTTCACTTTGCTGAACAGTCTACAAAGATACGGCAGTAGGAGGTAGGAGGACTGGTGCTAAATCCAGACACGTGATATATCCAAACCCTTGTATATGCAGCCCCCTCGGCGCGCATGCTTATTTCTCCCTTAATATCCTTTCATTTCCCCTTTTCTGTTCTGTGCTAACTCCCCCACACACATCTCAGTCAGCTGGCTTTAACTCGTTCCTCACCGAAAATAGCTCTTAGCTGCTGGTCCTCCCACTTTAGCTTGATGGATATACGCTCCTCTGATTCACTTATCCCCACAAAACACACACACACACACACACACACAAACACTATATGTTTTAGCCGTGTGCATGCATAAGCACAGTGCCCCTTCAGATACTTTTAACCCTTATCCATACTGGTTCCCTGAGGGCTTTGTAAATCAATAAGAAGCCTCATGGCTGCACCTTTTCAGCTGGGGTGTACTCAGCATTATGGGCAGTAATCCTGACTGCCCCTCACCCCATCTGAGCAACACTCAGACACTTTCAAGTAACAAACACACTGCCCCACATTTCAACCAGTCTAATGGTTACATGAGAGGACAGAAGGCTATCTGCACCACTGAATATAATCTACTTTATTTTAGTTTCCTTTTCTTTTGCGATGTATACATTACAAAAGACCTTGCGCATATTCATATGCAAGAGATAATATTTTCTCAACTCTTTTCTTGAAAGTACAGCCGCCCTGCCCCCTCTGCCTGTATCCACTCTGCAGTATCTCTCTCGAGGCCAGATCCTCCCTGTCCTCCCCCATATCCAAAAACAATACGTTGAGGGCCCCTGCTTCCACAGACCTGGAGGAACATGTGTTTTATTTTTAGAACTCACTCCCTCAGCCCACTAGTAAAGTAAAAAAAAAAGAGAAAAGCCCTCCCTCCACATGGTTTGTGAAAGAGCTGTAGTCAAATACAAATAGCATATCAGCAGTACAATCCTAAAAAAGCAGTAAAAACCATCACCGTCTGCGATTGCCTTTTTATCATTTATCGAGAAAAGAAACAACAAATGATATTCTCCTAGTTTAGTCAACTTATAAACTCTCCCCTAGTCTTTCAGTCGTGTTCACTGTCTTCCTCTTCCCCCACCTCTGTCCTTCTCCTCCCCTCTTTCCAGGAGATGACACATGACTCTCCCTATTAACACACACACACACACACACACACACACACACACACACACACACACACACACACACACACACACACACACACACACACATTTGGATACACGCAAGATAACCTGATACAGTGTGTCAGGTTGAGGCACCAGATCAGGAGAAGGGCAAATGATTTGGTTGGGCTCCCAGAACACAAACCTGGATAGACTCAAGCCACATGAGAGGAAAGTGTGAATCTGAAATACAAGAATAGTTATTTGAAGGCCTATAACATGATGGGGATGTGGATGCTGGATGTGGTGGAGCTGTGAAATCCGGGCAAATATCTACAACGAGTGAAACAGTAGGAATAAGGTTATATTTCTTGTTGACATTACTCTTTTGCTTTTGATATCTTAACTGCGGTGTTAATGCAACTTTGTCCTTTATCTTTTCTCTTTTTTTTTTTTTTATCTCTGGCTGGTCCTACCCACATCCTGCCTGCCACTCCTCACAACACTGCTTGTTGAAAATAGCGTGTGGGGTTTTCAACGGAGACGTAGAGTAGACACAAGTTGCACATGTCAACTTGATCGGAGACAGAGCAGAGCAGTGCACTGTTCCCTCCTTTCTCTCTCTCTCTCTCTCTCTCTCTCTCTCTCTCTCTGTCTCTCCCTCTTTCCCCTTTTGAGTTTCTTCCTGCGGGATCCTGTTTCACTGCAGCCCACATCGCAGCCACACTCTTATGTTGGTGAACCAGATTGATTGTCAACAGAGAGGGATATGAAATGTAGTCCGCCGAGGAGCTCCCTGCATGGTTCACATTTGGGTGGCTGTGTGTTACGTTTTTCTTTCTTGTGTTCTCTGGGTGATGATTGATCACATCTTGTGATATGTTTGAATAGTACTGTGGCATTTTTTGCGTTTCAGGTTCTATTTGAAACTGGGCCTCCAATGTGGTCTGCTGGCACATACTATAGAAATCAATAACAAGCTCTGTGTCTGTTCAAAGACAGCTGCTCTGTCTTTGGTGATCTACACAAGTTACTCTTCAGAAGACCGGTCCAAGGTCAGAGTTTATCTGACAACCCCAAACTAAGGATTTAGGATGGGGACTAACCTCCGGCAACCCCTCACCCAAGACCCAGACAGGATTTCCTCCCCGCTGTGTCCAGCGTTGGACTTAACCCTCATCCTACAAGAAGGATTGTGGCCGACCCCTCTCACACTGGACATAAACAGTTCGAGCCCCTTCCATCTGGCAGGAGGCTGCGGTCCATCAGGACCAAGACCTCACGCCACATGAACAGTTTTTTTCCCATCTGCAGTTGGGTTTATCAACAAAGCCCCACTGACTCCGTCATCCCCGGGACAATTTCCTACCGGTACACTCCCCGCCACATTCTATATTTAAATACACTTGACACTTTTACATTACACTTACATTATACTTGCGTTTGAAGAACTGTTATCTGTTTGTTTGTGCACTATATTATATTGTAAATTTCAATATGTTTCTATTTTTTGCACTGTATTGATTGTTTAATGTTATGCACCACCCACCATGTCAAATTCCTTCTATGTGCAACATACCGTGGCAAATAAACGGTTCTGATTCTGATTCCTGCAGTGCCACCCCCCCCCCCCCCCCTTTACCACCAGCCCAGTGTGTTTAGGTCCAGCAGAGATTTAGGCTTTGGGTTAGTGAACAGAGGACTGCTGTTTGACAGCTGTTGGCCCGCGTAATGGGATAGGGCTGCTGTGGAGCCCTTTAACTACTGCACCACTTGACCTGAAGTTCCCACTGTGAAACATCCAGCTGTGGATGTGGATCGTTTGTGACGGACAGGCTTCATCTAATTAAATTAATTATAAATAAATTGGAAAGATCTGCTTTCACCTGCACACACACGAGTCAGACTCTTGTTACAAGATTAATAAAAAAGATTGTTCGGCACACAGCTGAGTTCCCATCGCTACCTTGTCAAGGAACTTTGGTCTTCCTGTCTTACTGTTCCTCAGGAGCAGTGTTTAGCAGTATCAGGGACAACACAGGGAGTTGTTTCTAACCCTGTGGGCACATCTGTTCCTGGAGACTGTGTGGCACACAGGCTGGTGTCAAGGAAAGGCCAGGCTGGAGAAAACATTCCCAGCTTCAACTTCTGACCCTCTCGCCCCATTTAACCCCTCGCATTCCCCTTCCCCTCCTCACTCGGGTTCATTACAGTAACCCTTAATGCTCCAGACTCTTGCACACTGACTCAGTCTGTCAACGCATAAACTGCCTGCAGAACTTGTGTAATGGATGAATAATTGTGTTGGAAAGAGGCATCTCAGGTTTTAAGAGACTAGGTGATATTCTATAGGCATTTGTCTTGGCTACCATTAGACTATGGATCCATTATTGGCCGCATGTTACAGCACCAAGCTATTTTTCTACCACACTGGAAAAAAACACAAGCAGTGACATAGTCTTTGCAAGTGATGTTTGTTTAGAGCAGCTGTTGGTGGGCAGCAACTTGAAAATGTCAAAGAAACACGTCATATCATCACTCTTTAAAAAGATTTAAGCCTGGCAATACCATCCATTAAATTCATGTTGTTACATAATTCAGATTATTCATAGCTCTGCACCACAATTCATTTGAAAAGCAGACATTCCTCAGCATGGGGGAAAATGAAAATAAGAGGAGCCTCGTTATCTGTAACCGTCATCAAAAGCCAAGTAAGGAGGAGTTGTACTGGAATCAGAGAGGCAGAGAGAAACATGGGGGATTGATGGCAATGGATAGTCAACCAGAGCAGATAATAAACCAGGAGAGCTGAGACTAAAGCTCGCAGAGGAGACACAACAACTTACAACTCAAACAAA